GTCGAGTACTCTCACACATACTACATAAGTACAAGATATATTTATTATATATCAATTTATCAGACAGTGAGCAAAACAAATGTACCATTCGAAATATTTAGAAATAATCCAACATTGCATAACGACGTTATTGTCAAAAATAGTAAAATACCCCTAACATTTTTATATTTATTTTCGTCATCCTCTGGAATCTTGAAACATCTAAACAATAACCACTTAAGCCTAGTTCGCATTAAGCCAGTATTTTAGTCTAGTAGCGAGTAATTTAGTAACTAAACGTGTCTGAACACTAAAAATTTAGTCGATTAGTTTAGTAAGTAATTTAGTCGAGTCAATCCATTTTATTCTATTTTTTGGGCGAGTAGCAGCCCCCACCATGCGTCCGAGCTCACTGGTTCACCGGCTAAACAAGTACGAACCTGTCGAATTAGTCGAGTTCATTAGTTGCCGCCATAGTGGCAAGAAAGTATAGAACTGCTTGTAATTTTGTAATTGCAGGAATCGCACTTCTTAACAGTATCTTTACGCTGAATTTGAGAGTGTATTTTCATTAACAGAAAATTTACACAACTTTTGGACATTCTCAAACTATCGAAGTATTCTTTGGGATCTTCCAATGCTAATTCCTTAAGAAGACAATTAGTAGCTCCTAGTTTATCTCGTCTTTCGATCCATTTTCGTACCCATAGCTTCTTTTTATTAATCACACAAATTTCCTCATCCACCTCTTCTAAAATACCCGTTACGATCAGCTTAATCAGTTTATTTACTTTATTGTGTTGTAGGCTGTTCATCTTGCAAAACACCACTCACTTGTAAACTGTACTCGACCAAAGTGCGAACGATTTTTGGTGAGTAGCGAGTAATTTAGCTACTAAATTACTCGCTACTAGACTAAAATACTAGCTTAATGCGAACTAGGCTTTAAGGATTCGATAAATATGAAACAGATCACGTTGCGTGATTGCTCACGGGCAATACATACAGTTAGAGAGAGAGAGGGAGTACAAATAAAATAATTAACTAAATTTGGATATTTATGACTAAAATCCTCGTTAAATTAAATAATATGTATTCGTCTATACATATATGACTGGTAAGCTTAGTCGAAAATACAATAAAGTATTAGAACACTAAATAAAGAAAAATAGCACTGTCGTCCCCCGGGTGGGGTCACGCGTCACGCGTCACGCTACACGTACACGACCTCGCACTCGCACCTTACAAAAGTAACAAACTATGTATAGTAGTCGACTATATACAGAACACCGAGCCGCGCGCGTTCCGCCACCGGTAAGGCAAATCTCGTGCTCATTACATATACATATATAATTTATATTTACAAATAATAAATGGCAGTCAGTTATACGATATCCACAGCACCGGCACTTCTGATACTATAAAGCGTGTCGCGTATAAAATTTTATAAACGATCATCGTAAGCGCGGTACGCTCGCTGCATGAGCAACCTGATGGATACTAAATGTCTAGGCCAGATCTAACGCGAATAAATGTTTTAAAAAATTTAACATACTCATTATATGCAAAAATAACGCCTAAATTAAAAACTAATGATATGAATACAAGAATTTTGACTATCTAATGTTATAAATAATAATATACCTCTGTCCGACAGTCGCAAGCGTGAGGGAGGCGCGCGGCCGGCTCCCGAGGGAGCTTTAGCGTACTCTGTGAGAACCGCAATTCCCCGGATACACTACAAAGTTTACCTTAGAATATCATTCAACGGGTTTTCTATTCAGGAATTTTTCGATCTTGAATTATTTGTTAGAGGGATCAAGATGAAAAACCAGCTAGAACCACTATAGAAACTAACAATAGACTACATACTATACAAGAGTAGATCGAAAGTACTAGATTTATAGTTTAAATCATGCCTACGACTGGACTCCGCTCTGTCTTTATATCGCGTATGCACAGTATAATGATGGACGGCCTAATAACTTTTGTTAACCTTTAACTTGTCATCATTTCAAACCTAAAATCTACATAAACAAAGCTGATCAAAGTGTCCGAGATAAATAATTTCGAATTAAAATATCAAATATACAATACACCCAGTGTAAAAATGAAAGATGTAAAATTATTAAAAAAGAAGTTAATTTAAGATTAAAATATTAATAATGTATACATACACACTGGGCCACCAACCTACACTGAGGCTATTTATCTAAACATCAAATAATACTGTGTTAACATTTTTGGCTCAATTATTATTAACAGATTAAAAAAAAATCGACAATGGTACATTTCAGCACAGTATAAAAATCCATACAGTAGGACCGCCTTTGATTTTATCTCATATCCCGCCAAACGCGAGGGTTGTCAAAATTTACCAATTTCATGGCAAATATGGTTTCGAAGTTAGTGCTGTAGTGCTATCTTGGCAAGTTACAGTTATACCCGTCAACCCTGAATCTGTTTCCCGACTATCATATAAAAATACGTATGATATACGTAGTCTCACCCGCACGTTTGTCCTATGTAGAAGCCTTCGTTTAACGACTGTATGGATCAGTAGACTGCGAATTTAGTGACAATAGGTGCATATCATATAAATATAAACAAACAGAGCGAAGTAACTTTAGTAAACCTCTAATAAAAGCGTCTCATGCTCACATCACTGTTACATTTAACATGCTCGGCAATCGCGAATAACCTCTATCAACATACAAATATCATTTATACTCGGAACTGCATTTCTGACACTAAAGCAGTCATATATAAAAAAATCTGCATAGATTGGCATGTTTCATAAAGTTGGCTATCAAACAATCTCCTGCACTTATATTAAGAATCCCGGTTTTTTTTTAATTATAAATATTATAAAGCAAATTTACATGAATTACTCACAATTATTTGACAGTAATCACGAAAAGATAATGTATATTATGGTTGTTCTAACATTTGTCATATATGTATACCTATATGATTTTTGTAATGTTAGTCATATAAAAAAACAATCATTTATGCTATTTAAGACAGGTCATTAAATAATCTCCTGCATTTTTATTTTTATATTAATAAAAGTCTGCTTTTAAAACCAATTTCTTATTACATTATAATATATACGATTTATTTGGTTTTTTATTATTTAGTCATAAATTAATCTATTAATATGGAACATTTTAAATTCCTATCTTAGTGTCATAAACACACCATTGCATTCAATTAAAAAGAAATTACCTTGAAGTACTACAAACTTAATATTTTATATAGGAAACGCCCTCCCGGACCCTATTAATTGTCTAAATCAAATACTGTCGTATTCATGGAAGACTTAAAAAAATATAATATTAACGAAAGAAACGTTTCGAAACTATGATATAAACATACTATCATCGATGGCGATACGTGACAATATTACCACTACCACGAGTTACTCATGTTAAAAACGACGTAACGTCCCAAAATGAACTCTCAATAGACCCGTGGTAGTGGCTCTGCGTGTATCGTGATCAGGGCTACCAGATTGTTTATTTGGATACAAAAATTGTAAAATATGGTTATTTCATATATATATATATCATTTTAAATTAATACGTACTTTTATTGAATTTTTTTATTCATCACAAACTATTTCTCAACAGTTTTGTTAATTTGTGTAATAAAATTTGATTTGGTAATTTGAGTGACTCAGCGGTATAAAATAAGTTGGCTCTACTGGCAGCAGTCGTCTCTACTACTGGCAGCCCTGATCGTGATGGAGAGTAAATTCGAATGATTAGTCTTTGTCTGAGTGAAATGAGAAGGCAGATAGCGGGAGGGCTGGACAGTCTCAGTAATAAATGGAGAAGGTGAAATGACGCTGCCGCTAGAAGTGATCCTTATTGATTTAATTAATATTATGCATAGTGATTTAAATCTGTGGGAATTTTAAAAACTTACAATAGGTTAAATTCTTTACATTGCATGTGTCATTGTGCTTTTTTGTTTAATTATAACATTAGTTTAAAATGACATAACATAATCAAATATCAAAGATATTTCTAAAATTCGACGAAAGTAAAAATATATTTGTTTTTCAAAACTTTGCGTCACAATCATGACATATTTAAATTATTCTAAGCCCTAATTTTGTTTTAGGTAAAACAGCGCTTATCAACTTGCCAGCTGTATTTATTTTAGTAGGCACTGCCTCAAAGAAAACTAGCTAAGTTTCAAATAATTTGTTTTATATATAAGATTATATACTACTACAACAAAGGACTTTGCGCTAAACAAACATTAAGAGCTACAAATATTTTTCAAGTATCTACAGTTTGTAAGCATTTAATATAATTCTAACGCATTGTAGAATTTCGTGTACGTTATGTACATAAGTAAGCAAACAAGACATTACATTTTACTTTACAATTGCACTATTATATAAATCATTCATGTTCAGTACTCGTCAGCTATGGATACAGCGTAAAGACAACTGTTAGCGTACTTAAAAATCCATTCCACGCAAATCATTCGAATTTTCTTTCTTACAATTCTTATTACTAATATATTATGTAACTTTAAAATGCCATTGAGAACTCATGAGACACTTTAAATAATGTGTATTTTTTCGTATGCATGTCTATAACTATTGTCACTATAGGCACTAGTAGCGACAGCACTAACTGGGCAGCGTGTATGGGATGAGCGGAGGTTGAGGTGTGGTTGTGAGATTGTGTAGTCTCGAAAGGCTGCTTTAGAAAACTGCAGTTAACGACTATAGAATATTTGCCTAAACGAATAGAAGCAACATTTCTATTAAAAACAAGAATAACTGATGATCTATTTAAATTTGCAGTCTAACAAACTACAGTTTTGTAAATAGTGGTGCCAGATAAAAAAAAGTATATAAAAAAAGTTTGCACATTCCATAGAGTACAACAAAATGAATATTGTCTATATCGAATATAATGTAATTACGTGTCTGTTGGGTATAATGGATATATAATTTGTATCTGGCAACACTATCAGCAGTGTACGAGTGTGATGAGTTAAAGTGAGCCAGCGGGAAAGCTGGCAGAGGAGTTGCTGTGGGCGAGCGACAGCATTGAGCCTGAGAGCGACTGCTCTTCCTCTCCGTAGCCCTCTCGGCTTCCCTCCGCAATCGCCATCGCACTGGAATCATAATATGATAATATTATATTATTAAGAGGGCACCGAGCTTTTAGTATTAGTAGGGCAGGGTGAAGTGTGGTTAGGATGGACCGAACGCGTGCAAATTTAGGTATTTCCTTCGTAGCATTAAAACAAATACACATTTTTAAAAAGGTAAAATGTATTGTTATTTTTAAAAAACTGATGAACTGCCTTGAATTATTTACGCCGCACTAAAGGTTTATTTTATTTTTTAGAGATCATTTTGGATTTTTTTTTCTATCGAGGAAACTATGGGTAATTGTGTTTCTAAAATGTACGATTTATAGAATAAATCGTAAAATATCCTACATATTAATTACATAATTAACATTTTAGTAATAACAATACAGCAAGGGATCAAACGAACGCAATTATTTCGTAATTGCCTCGGTGCGTCCTTAACAAAATTTACTGAAAGTGACCCCTAGGTTCACTTTCACCTCAATTATTTTTTTAATTATTATCAATAAAACAAACAAAAATATCAACCTTTTTTTTTGTAAAAACCGGATTTCAAAATTTTTGTTTAGTAAAATATCATATTGACATTGACGATCTCATCGTTGTCATATGAAAAAAAAACCGCACTTAAATATAATTGAAAAAAAGAAAAAAATTAAACGTATGGTACCTGTCCATCCACTTCCTACTATCCTCATTCACTTCATCGTGAAAAAAAACTGAGCTTCGAATAGACAGAAGTTTCGAACATAGGATGAAAATCAAATATTTGATTTCATATTGAAACAAAACTTCGAAGTTGCATGAAGGGAGATTAAAATCTTTTTTTCAATAAACCGTACCTGAAACCAAGACGTGCACTCTCGCTGTCGAAGTGCTCAAGTTCGCGCTCGTGACGCTCGTGCAGCATCCGCGTGCGCTCGGCACGCTCGGCCACAAACTGGGCGCCTTCCGACTCCATCTGTTTTCAAATTGTTTAATATATTTTTGGATATATCCTGATATTGATAATTTTAGGATATAACTGAGCTAACACATGCATTTTAAAAAGCGTAAACCCTCTCAGTAACCCGGTCAACTATGACTGTTTTTACGTCACACACCTCAGTGAACTTTTATCGATACTATTTCGGTCTAACAAAAATAAGCAGGCTAATTTAAGTATCAATTTCCTAATCAGACTAATAGTTCTTGAGATTTGTGTAGTCAAACACGCTTCTGTTAATACATACCCTTATAATATTGTATATTACTTAATCTAGACTGGATATGTTCTACTCAAGACAACATAAAACACACAACACTTAAAGAGAATGCTATTCCTCATTTCGTTAAATAGAATATTATTTTCCTGAGCTCATATGAAGTTCTTGGTGAGTCGTGTTATAAAATGAAATAAAAATCAACTTTAATCAACTAGACTTACTAGTTTAACTAGACTTACTAGTTGATTAAAGTTGATATTTATTTCATTTTATAACACGACTCACCAAGTATTAGTTTTGAATCGTTAATTTAAAGATAGTGTACTCGGTCCGTGAGAAAGCTACCACCGTCGGTTACCACCTCATAAGAGTAGGGCTCGGAAACCCGTTCAATTTTTTAACCGGTTCTGGTCATTAGCCCCAAACCGAAGGCATTTCGGTTTAAGATTTCGGTTACGTTCTATAATCGGTTACAATAACCAAAATTCCGGTTAAAATAAGTTTTTGCGAGTTTACATTGGTGAGTGGCTTAGTAATAGCAGACATGTACGTTTCTTACTAATGAATGAATTAACCGGTTTATTTTGGTATCAAAACCGAAATCCAACCCTTCTCCAAGGATAACCGTTAACCATTATTATTTTGTTTTACTGAACCGTTCGTTATCATAAACCGGTTAAAGAACGAGCGATGAATCAACCATGAAATTACCGAAATAAACCGGTTTTTTTAAACCGGTTCCAAGCCCTATTTAAGAGGCCGACTTTTAGCCCTCTTAATAGCTTCCAACACATTCACAACTCACCTTATTTTGCAGTTACGTATGACCAACGATAATTACTTAAATAAAGTGTACCTTATGTTAATTTGTCCTCACTATATCTAGGAAAAAAAAACTTCCTTATTACCTTAGCCTCAAGCAGCGCGCGCCGCACTGCTACGCGTTCCTCCAGCTCGCGCCGCTCGCGGTTACGCTGCGCCTCTGCCTGCATCTTGCTCTTGCTCTGGTACGCGGTTAGCATATCCAACTCGTGGACCAGTTGCATCTTCAGCTGCTGGCATTCCATCTGCGACCATATTACGATACTTTAGTAGGTACTATTTTTTGTTCTGTTACGCCAAAGTATAACTTCTTACGTGCGTACATAAGTACACGTACACGTTTTTTTAGTATCTCACCTATCCAAATTATTTAAAACATAAATTGAATTTCATAAAGAGTACTGATAGCCTACGGAAATTTCACTTTCACATTCATACACGCACTCTTTAATATTTTTTTGTCTTAGGATCTATGCATACATTTTATACGCTGTCAATACGCGCCAATCACGTGTTCGTATCGATACGAACTCAAGTAATTTACATTTTTTAAGTTTATCAGCGCAGAATGCGAAGAAGCCAAGACAGAAGCCGACACGACGATGCGCGTTCGTCGTGATATGGCTTCATCAGCGCGCTTGGCAAACGTGGTGTGCCCTTAGATAAGACCTATTCATAGAAAAAAAACACAAATAAATGTAATAGCTCATTTATTCTCACTCATATATTCAGTCGCATTGTAATAATTTTATTAATTAGATTGTTTTTGTTTGATGATAATAGAGAAAAAGTAATGTAAATATAACCTTTATATTCCACAACGTAAAGCACACACATTTCACTTGTTTTAAGTAAAAAGAAATTGAAAATAAAAAAATATTTTATCTTGATAAATTAGTTTTAGTATTGCTAAAGCAAGTATAAAATGTTCTTACCATCTGACTCTCATCGAGGCGTACGGTTTGTTTCTGCAACATTTCACTGATGCTCTGGTCATATTGCTCTCCAAGAAGAACAAGCTTGCGACGTTTCTCGTCTTTTAATGATTTTATCACTTCTTTTTGTTGCTCCTATAGAATTTTACAGTATAAAAGGATATTCATACTAAGATCTCGTTTATTTAAGTACATATAGCTTAATTCTCAAGTAAGTTATACATGTAGTTAATAAAAATAGGGAGTTACATTATGTTTTATAAATTAGTTGCTAGCATAAGCCATCAGTAGTTTTCTTAATTCTATTAAAAGTTCTATAGCTAAGTATTAATGTAAAATAATTAACCTGATTATGTTTAGTTTACATAAGAAAGGACTACCTTAGGCGTCATTTGCAATATTTGCGCTTTGAGTGCTTTGTACTGGCGCGTCTGTATTTTGCACGTCTCACGGAACTGCTTACGAATCTGCATTTCTTTTTGCTGTTGAAACAAACATATAAAAGTATGGTCTACAACTACATATAATTGTATTTTCAAATCCTTTAAAAATTCATTAAATAAGAGGAAGACATTTACGTTTCGAAAAAACGAAAAAAAATTAAAATTAATATATAATGTATTATAATTTATACCTTTAAGCTCTTAGGTTGTTGTTTAAGCTGTAAAGCATGCTTTTTACGTAGCTCGTGCTCAGCGCGCTGCATGTAGTCGCGCTGGTTCGCCAACTCCGTCGCATGCTGGTTGGCTAGTTGTTCTTCCCTGTGATATATTTATATTATTATATTTAGGTTGAAATACAGCCAAAACTAAAAAAAAATATTTTCTTGAAAAATTGTTTCGTTACTTAGTAAAGTTATTAAGTTCATTCTGTCAAATTACTTTGAATAACATGCGTAAGTGTAGTAAATTTATATATATATATATATATATATATATATATATATATATATATATATATATATATATATATAAAACAAAGTCGTGTTAGTTACACCATTTATAAATTATAACTCAAGAATGGATGGACCAATTTTTATAATATTTGATTTTTTGGATTTCTCTTAGTCCGGAATAGGATAATGAGTATTAAAATATAAAAAAAATCACAAAAAAATCCAATTTACATGGCTAACACTGGCTAATAACTATTCGAAACGTAACTAGCGACGAACCCGAGCGAAGTGAGGGTGAGCCGCTAGTACTAATATTAGACCAGGGTAGAAGCCTTTAAAAATAATAAAAAGTGAAAAAAAATAATAGTAGGATGCAACCCATTAGAAAAAGAGGGGAATATTATAAAAATGAAAGGAAAAATAATTTACGGGCGATCTGAGGTCGGGAAGGGGTGGGGGGTCAGCTTTTAATGGTAAAAAATGGTTTTTCTCGATTTCCGGCAAAACTAAAAGTCCTATCGAAAAAAGTCATATGGCAAAGTTGTAGGTAATAAAACGATCTAAAACTTTTGTATTTACACTTTTTTCACATAACCTCAAAATTTATGTGAAAAATTCAAAAAACCAAGTTTTTGGTTTTTTATTTTTATCTTTTACAAAAATGTTTTTGTTTTAACGAAATTTGGTGAAAACTTACCTTTTTATGTCCCAAATACGCTGTAATTTATTTGATTAAAAATATTTATTTTTTCACCTTATTTTGAATTAATATCGAAAAAGCACCCTCATTTTCAATCGAAAATTCACCCGTCAAAATATCAGCTTTTTTCAAAAAGTTGGTATGTTTTCTGTTTGTTGAAATCTCTACTTTCCGATGGTGAAAAAAAATATATATGTTACCTGGTATCTATAATAAAATATATGAAATATACATGAAAATCGGCCAAAAGTTAGTTATTTAAAAATATATTTACTATACATATTTGTTATATATTTATACATAAAAAATATGTATAGTATAGATTTTTAATATATTTATAATATATTTTTTATACATTTTGACATTTATTTCTTTAATATATTTTTTTTTCATGGGGGTATACTCACGATAAAATAGTGAAGGCATTATTAATTCGATTTTGTCTATTCAGATTATCAGTATGGATGAATCTGTTTGTATCATCTGCAATAAGGCAGATGATAAGCAAGTGTATGAAATAAAAAAGGTCTTTTGTTTTTTGCATTTTCTCAGAAGATTTACTATACATATATATTTTTTTTTCACCATCGAAAAGTAGAGATTTCAACAAACAGAAAACATACCAACTTTTGAAAATAGCTGATATTTTGACGGGTGAATTTTCGATTGAAATTGAGGATGCTTTTTCGATATTAATTCAAAATAAGGTGAAAAAATAAATATTTTTAATCAAATAAATTACAGCGTATTTGGGACATAAAAAGGTAAGTTTTCACCAAATTTCGTTAAAACAAAAACATTTTTGTAAAAATAAAAAACCAAAAACTTGGTTTTTTGAATTTTTCACATAAATTTTGAGGTTATGTGAAAAAAGTGTAAATACAAAAGTTTTAGATCGTTTTATTACCTACAACTTTGCCATATGACTTTTTTCGATAGGACTTTTAGTTTTGCCGGAAATCGAGAAAAACCGTTTTTACCCTTAAAAGCTGACCCCCCACCCCTTCCCGACCTCAGATCGCCCGTAAATTATTTTTCCTTTCATTTTTATAATATTCCCCTCCTTTTCTAATGGGTTTCATCCTACTATTATTTTTTTTGGTTTTAAAAATTATCGACCCTGGTCTATATAAACAAAATTTAGATACCTTAGTGCATGAACGCCTTTCTGTTGCCTGTACTCGAGTTCTTGCGTTTTTTCGTGGTGACGAAGAAGCATTGAGTGTGCTTGCTCCAATTGCGTTTGTCGCTTGTTCAACTCCTATAAAACAAAAATTACTATAAGAAACACCAACATATCAATAATTCGACGTCTAGCTCGTTTCGACAGTAAATAGCATAATATATAGTCTAAGTATTAGTAGATAAGAATAGAAATTTATAAAAAAGTACAAAATTAAAGAAAAGTGTTATTTTGATTATAGTCCCAACAACTTTATCTAAAGTATTTAAAAACGTTAAATGCTTATCTCATGCTGTCAATCCAACATGGTGTGAAAACCTGCCAACTCGTATTTCGCTTGCATGGTGAACTGTGGCTTAATCTCCTCACAATCAGGAAACGCAAGTGCCAATCGATGGGACGTTAAAAGGTCTTAATAACTATGATTATTACCACAGACACAACTTCACAAACAAACACCCAGTACCTCTCTAAGCAGCTCCTGCTCCTTATGATGCAACGCGAGCATGCGGCGACGTCGGAAGCGCCGCAGCTCGAGCTCGAGGTATTCCCGCTGCGAGCGCACCAGCCGCGCCTCCTCCACCGCCTCCGCCTGCTTCAGGTTGTCCTTCTGGGACCTGCGGTTAGAAAAAGTTAAGGCTACATATCTATAGAGATAAATAAAATTGAAGTGTCTGTTTGTAATGTCAAAATAACAGTGTTTTACTAAATGCATATGAAATTATATACGGTACTTATAAGAAAAACACAATTTTCAATTTTTTTGTCTATTTGTCTGTCTGTTTGTTCCGGATAATCTCTGAAATGACTGGACTGATTTTGACGGGACTTTTACTGGAAGATATCTGATGTTATAAGGAGTAACATGGGCTACTTTTATTTTAGAAAAAGAATTAGGGTTCTGCTCAAAAAAATTAAAACGTAGCAAGGTACCCGAGCGAAGCAAGGGTGAGTCGTACCTCATAAAAATTTTGTAATACAATTTCGCTAGCAGATTATTAAGGCATAATAGATAATATCAAGTCTGAACATAGTCTTTAAAGTTTAAAGTTTTAAGTTGTCGTTTAACCAGCACTCGGAAAACCGTTCAATTTTACCGGTTTTGGTTATTGACCCCAAACCGAAAGGCTTTTCGGTTTAAGGTTTCAGTTGGATTCTTTAACCGGTTAAAACTCGATGAATTTATGTACCATGATTGAAATTAGTGTGTTTACATTCGGTGAATCTTAGCTAATTGTAAATTGCATAGTAGAAGGATACATGAACGTTTTGTTACTCATGAACGAATTAATCGGTTTACATCGGTATCAAAATCTAAGGCTAACCTTTCTTAGAGAAACGTAGAATAACTGTTAACGGGCAAATAACCATATTAACCATAATTATTTCAGTTTACTAATTATAATAAATAACCATTCGTTTTTATTAACGAGTAAAGGAACGAGTGATGAATTAACTATTAGATTAAGCTTGCGTCTAACGAAGGTGTCTAGGCAGGGCAATCGTACGGGGCATACAGAGGACAAAAAAAGGAAGGTCGTATGTACTTTTATATGACAGTCTATAAACTGCTTTAGGGTTGATCGGTATAACTGTGACATGCAACTAGAAGATAATAAAGATTTTTAAGTTTGTAACTATTCACTATGAAAATTGGTAATTTAAAGCCTGTGGTGTCACACTGCAGGGCAAAGGCCTTGCAGTACTCTTCTTCCACTGCACCCTATGTTCCGCCACAATAGACAACAAGTCATTCCGCCATCTCCATCTGAGCCTACCACATTGTCGTCTACTGTGTTGTATTGTGTGATTATATCTTAACTTAAATTTATTTTAGTATTGTAGGTGACTTATAACATAATATATTTAATTTATCATATTTATATATTAAACTTCACATATCATAATATTTATATTTTATTAAATATTTAATTTACGTATTTATATTATCTACTCACCTACATACACACATACAACACGTTTATTTAATTATTTATATTTATTCATTATTAATTATTCACATATTATATTAATTCGACAAACATAGCCGCGCGAAACCGGTAGTATATAGTGGATCGGAATTTATTTTACACCTACCGACCACTAATAACTTTTTACTTACCACCAGTCGATACCTTTGCCTTTGATGCGATATACTTGTTATATAGAACTGAATCTTTTTCGCGAGATATTGTACGTGGACTTTATGTGTTTGTGTTGTAACTCTTGTGTCATAGTGTATTTCCCCTAAACGTTCCTTCTGTACTGTTTTTACGTGTGAGTTGAATTTTTAAATACTATTTCATCAGTGACGTAACATATTCTTTTATTTGTGACTTATCGTCACGCACAACCACCAAAGTATCAATGGGCCTTCTGCGTGGAAGAACGATAATCCAACAAACACACTTTAACATCTATACTAATATTATAAATGTGAAAGTTTGTGAGTATGTATGGATGTTTGTTACTCTTTCACGCCAGAACGGCTAAACGAATCTGGATGAAATTTCGCACAGATAGATTATAGTCTGGAATAACACATAGGCTACTTTTTATCCCGGAAAAATGTACGATTCCCATGGAATAGGTTTGTTTTTGCTTTCCTAGAGGCGAACCCGAGCGAAGCGACAGTAAGCTGCTACTTTATTATATTAGAGTAAAAAAAATGACAACTCACTGTAGTGTAGCATCCCTCTGCCGTTTAGGCGTGGCGTCATCCATACTGAGCTCCTTTTTCCATCTCTCCTTGTTAGCCTTGTACTCGCGCTTGCGTTGCGTCTCAAACGCCTTCCGCTCTTGTTCTTGACGAGCTGTTATATCTTTTACGAGTTTCTTTTCGGCCGCTGCGTTTTGTTTTTGTTTCCTTTCAAGTTCTTGTGCGTGTTTCGTCTAAAATGGACAGACACATACAGTATAAATTTGTGAACGTATATTTTATTGCATTATACTCATATTTTTTTCCTTTTTTAGTAGCTAGCTTACAAAAAGTGCAGATTATAAGACCTTTTCTGAGGGCCTGAATCATGTGAAAGTTATTATTGAGTTTCTACAAAATTCTGTCGAAAAATCTCAGTGTAAACTAGTGATAAAAAACCTCAGTGCCTCAGTAGTGGAGCTGCTGTGTCTGTTTATGACTTTTTTAGGTAAGAACTATAAAAGTAAAGAGAACAGAGAATGCTCCGTTCACGCCGACTTCATATGCATATCTGCTGTACGCGCCTAACCGAATAACATTCACAAAAGGTTCATAACTTAAATCTAATGAACAGTAATAAATCTACTACGAACACCACTTACCTGCAACCGTTCCAGCTCGCGACACAGTTGCTGCAACAGCGAGTCGTACTCGCGGTCGAGCTGCGCCTTGTGCGCCTCCACGTCCGCCTTGCAGCGCTCCTCCAGCTTGAGCAAGGCCGCCTGGTGCTCGCGCCGCATACGCTTGTACCCGGACATTTGTTCATGCATCTCCTATGTTTTGAAAAATTTTTATTATTATTTTTTATTATTATTATTTTTTTGAAATTTTACGGTTGTATAGAATAGATAGAATATATATGAACTAATAACTTGTGTAGAAGCATGATGATATATAGCCTATAGCCTTTATAAATAAATGGGCTATCTAATCGGATTAGTAGTTCCTGAGATTAGAGCGTTTAAACAAAGAAACAGACTAACTCTGCATCTTTATAATATGAGTATAGACAAATATTTTAATACCATATTTGAAAGTATAAGTATATATCTAAGTAAAAAACCATGCCAGTTTATTGCTGTATCGCGCGTGTAAAAGGGTACACTAACGAATGCACTTTTACATTTATTGTATTGTAAGGTTCTAATAGAACGAATAATCGAAATCTTTAGTGAAAAATACTGTTTTAAGATAGATAGAGCCATGAGCATAATAAAAATAACTACAGCTAATTTATTACACCTATTATTTACCAACATTAGTAACAGTAGACTACAAAAGATATAACATAATTTATTACTAAATGAAGGTTGACAATATTATTTACCTGATTGTGTTCTTTCTGCTGCTTCGTAACAATACTAGTGGTTCGTATCGTAGCGAAATTGTTCGCGCCGTGCTCTGATACCAGAGATATCGCGGCCGAAACATTATTGCTCACACCTGGAATTAAAAGGTAATGTCCTTTTATTTCTTTATATCATTATCAGACATACAGAGACAAGTGGCATATTGCTGCAGTAATTTTTATACATGCTAATACAGCACGTAGCTATCTGAATGCCAGATATATTAAACTTACAGAATACTAATGCGCAAAATAAGATTTAGTAATCAACTTTCATATATTCCTTTTCGGATATACTAAATAAAATATAATTAGAATTTTCTCTCTTCTTATAGAAGATTTTTTTCTTTCTAGGAACTTAATAAAAGTAGCTTTACAATAAACTAACCTCTATGAGACTGCCTACGCTGAGTGTTCCTATTGTCATCACCGCTGTCCTGCTGCCACGTGGAGGGCGCGTTCACATACTCTCTATATTCATTCGCTTGCTTCTCGCGCTCCCTCTCCCTCTGGGCCTCCCTTATTGCTTCCCGGTTAGCATAATCATCCCCGTAGTCGTCGCACAGGGAGTCCCGGTTCGCGTAATCCCGGAGGACCTCCCTGTTGACGTAGTCGTCGTGCGACCCCGGCACCGGGCTCTCGCTCTCTCTGCGTATGAAACAGCAACATGAATAAAGCCAACGCTTGCGTGCTCTGAAAGGAAGAACTCTAACTAATGCGTGAGGTGCGTACGTGATGGATCAAGCTTGGTAGTGATAGATACAATCGTTTATGTGCAAGTATTTAGCGGCAATAAAGAAAAAAAAAGCAATCAATTGAAATGAGTGTACGTAAAATGGACAAGGTGTTAGTGCGGATGAGTATGAATGCTTTAGTAAATTAGTGGATCCATTATAAATAGAAAATTATTTTGAGTATATTATAAAAATAATTTTAAAACTAAATTATACAACTGTTTAGAATAATTTACTAGATTATATGATCAGTTATCTATAATAAATGAATAATGGTCTATTTAAAATGGACGAGTTAATGCTAGAGTGGGATATCAAGTGGTACCTGGCCGAGTGAGCTGGTTGGTGGTTGTATTGCTGGTATGTCGGCTGTTGCTGGTTTTGGTGGTTTGCGTTCAGCTGCAAGAATATATTTGTTGTCAGATTTGTAACATGTTTAGTGATATTCATGTATAAATAAAAAATAACAGGAAAAGAATATATGGTCAATATTATACGAATAATAAAAAAGAAAAGAATACTACTAATACTAAAAATAAATTGAAATTGATAGAACAAAAAATTGTGTTTTATGAAGAATAGTATATATATGGTAGCCAGGAATGACACACAAAATTACACATTACACAATATGACAAAAACTTATAATATTTATTATATTAGGATAATGCTAGATGATGTCCTGAGCAAGTGGAACAAAGTTAATAACATTAAAAATTCATGGCATATCTCCCTGTACTAAAATCATAAACTCATCAAATAAAAGCACTAGTAAGTAAGTAGTAAGACACTAACGTTCAAAAGAACATAAAACGCGATACTAATACAAGCCATCTGATCACTTTCACATGAACGGCAGACTCATACCCAACAGTGCATTGAGTTTTAAAATGTTTTCATCCATCTGTCCGCCACTTCAGCATGACGAAGTAACAAAGATACACACACACATATACATTTTTACATTTACAAGTGGTCAGATTATTCAGCCTTTTTTAACAACCCTTTGCTGAGCACGGGCTTCCCTTTAATATTAATCAAAGGGCATCAGAACATAATCCACCACACCGGCCAAGTGCGGGTTGGTGAAATTCTAATATCTTTTAATAACTTGCTAGGATCTCTCAGAAATACAGGTTTCCGCACGATATATTTCTTCACCGTATGACAAGTGGTAATCAAGTTGGAAATGATTCTCACATGAAAAGGTGTGAGACTCGATTGCAAGGATTTGAACCCGCTTTACTTGCTTTTCCAAACGTCTTATTTTACATATAGTTAATATTTACTGGACGCGGCCGCCTCCTCAGGCTGCCTGACGAGGAGCTCTGGCTGGAGGCGCCGGCAGCGCTGTGCTCGGACGTCGCAGAGTTCGACTTGGAGCTGTCGCCGCCCGACCGCTCCTCTGCCGTTTCCTCACTGTCACCTGGTGGTTAGACAATTTTTAGTATACATCTGAGACCCATGTGCGTAAAGCCTTATTTAATACTAGCGACTCACACTCGCTTCGCTCGGGTTCGTCCCTAGCTTACTTTCCAATACAAACTTTCATCCCCATTTTCACACCCTTGAGGAATGATTTCTGGGATAAAAAGTATCCCATGTTCTTCCCAGGGTCGCAAACTATCTTCTTACCAAATTTCATATTAATCGGTTCAGTAGATCCAGAGATTAACCCCTACAACGTCACAAACTTTACCTCTTTATAATATTAGTAAAGATAGTTTAAATGCGAAAGTAAGTTTGTCTGTCCCTCTTATATATCAATATATTATTTTTCATAGTAATGGCACAGTCTACTAATCCATACAGCTGTTTTACGAAGGCAGACAGGGCTATCGCGTGAGGGAAGACGCGGTTGAGGCGCACTCAAATGCATACGTTCTTTTTTTTACATGAGAGTTGGGGAATGGCTTTAAACTTGATGGGTATAAGTGTAATCTGCCACAATATGGCACTACACTTTAACTTCGAAACTGTTTGCAATGGAAATTGATATTTTTGACAATCCTTGCAATTGTCAGCATTTCCATCAAATCATAGGGGATCTCCTATTGTATGGTTTATATTGTGGTTAAGTACGTAGTACCTGGGCGACCGAGCCTTGCTCGGAGTGTTTGGCCAAAAAAAAACATTAAAAAAAAAACAAACTAAGAATTTAAATAACTACAAAAAAAAAATTAAAAACTTTGTGTCCGACCGGGATACGAACCCAGACACCTGTGGTTGTCAAATTTGCGCATTGGCCGCTTGACCATGATGCTTACATCTGAGCATGCGAAATTATCGAACATAATATTTTGCGTGGAATTATTAATTTATTGAAATAATGCAAAAGGAATCATAATAATAATAAAGCTCTATTTATTTATTCATTTATTTATTATAAAGGCTTACTAACTAAATTTACATAAAAACATTTATTTAACATTATAATTTTACCTATTTGTATATAAACTTAATTTAAAAGTATGCACAGCTTTTTATAAAAGTATTCCATTAAAATTTTATTTGGTTAAGAGTATATAAGGAGCCGTTTTAGTTGTACAATAAACAAAAGAAGAAAAAAAAACTAATCTAAATATTTAAATACACTTTCTTTTTAAATAAATTTAAACTATCAGAAAAAATGTCTATATCACATTGCTGAAATATAAAATTATATAATTTAGTGACTATTTATTAACTTATAATTTTTTAACTAATAATTTTGTAATCTGGAATTAAATTATTTTAAAAATCTTTAATATTATTTGAAATTATATTGTATATATATATAAATAATCATTAACAAATAAATAAACAATGACAGTAAATTAAATAATTCAATTGAGTAAATACTAAACATTTCACAATAATACATATAAATAAAATTTCTTTCCATACATTAATTCTGACAATAGTTATAAATTAGGTATTTAATTTCATAATTAAATGTATTTATTTAGTAAATGTCTTTTTCATGTATAGACCCCTCTCGGTTAAAAGCCTCCTCCAAAGTAGTCCTGCATAGAGCTCTCCGTTGGAGATTATGCTTGTATGATTGCAAAGGGTTTCTTTTCAAATTTTGTTTCCAATATACTATAATTTGTTTCTGATATGCCTATAAAGTTTATAATTTTATCTTTGTGTTCTTTTGATTTGTTGTAGGAAATGCTGCTTTTAATTCTAGAAGTTTTTCTGGTGAAGATATATATTACCTTTGTTCATTGTATGTCTGTTTTTCTTTGGAGGGTTACGGTCGAACTCCCCCACAGTGACCGGCCGTACTGGGGGATAAAAATGAGGAGGTTCCTACTGTGTTTAATATACTGTATCTTGCTGTGTTGTTTTTAGTTCTTCCTGGTTATCATTTGTGTGGTTGAAAGTTAATTTTGGTTTTTGTAATATAATTAATTTAATATTAGCAGGTTTGGTTTTCTTTGTATGTTATTTATTTGTTAGTTTTTGTTTATAATTGAGGTAAGGCGTTTCTGAAGATACAGGCAGACTTCTTTTATTTGAGTATTGGCGAGAAGTGTTCTTATTATTATCCACAATAATTAGTTTATCATATTTAATGAAAGCTGTTTTGCCAAGGTCTTTTTCTTTATCTTCAGTTGGGCTTGTAACTCCTTGCGTTTATTTAAGACTTTATTTTTTCCTCTAGTTCATGATAGGATTTTTCACCTTTTTCTACTCCGAACATAACCAAGTTCTTGCGCCTAATATGTCTTTCTAAATTATTTATTGAGGATTTTTTTATTTCTAAGTGTTTAAATTTCTCATTTAAGTATATTATATTGTTGATTGTATTTTTAATGTCTTCTTTCATTTCTAACATTTCTGATTTCTGCAGCTGTCTTATTTCTTGTTGCATGTTTATTAGCAACTTTTTTATCTCCTCCATCTTAAGTGTGAAGTCGGAAGTAGAAAAGCTGATTGAAAAAGAGCACCAATTATACGTAGTTGAATTGCAATTTTATACAGAGTATTAATTTTTGAGGTTATAAACTTATGTTTTAATATTTTACGCTTCCACTTCACAAATTATTTTGTTTTATTGCCATCACACACAGAAAAGATGGTTTTGCACTGATAGTATCTGTATGTTATGTTTCTCACTTTTGTATTTGTTTGGTAGGTGAATTTTTAAAAGCTCATTTGTTCTTCAACACATCAAGACATGGTGATATTGCCCATAGGTTTTATCGATTAATATTTCTTAAAATTATTATTAAATTAATTAGAATTTTCTTTAGATTATTTTCACGTAAATATATTTAAACTTGATGTAAATACGGACACGATGTTGACAGTTGCACAGTGGCGCCGCCCACTCACCAGAAGTGACAATGCAAAAATTGTGAAAATGCAAAAGAAAATCGCATGAAAATTCGAAAATTCGCGTTTTTCCAGATATAAGACTAATCTAGATCGATTTATCGCCCCCGAAACCCCATGCATGCTAAATTTCATGAAAATCGTTGGAGCCGTTTAGATTATATATATTATTATTACCAGATTATATATTGATATATATATATATATATATATATATATATATATATATATATATATAAGATTTGTTGACCTGTCCCTCTAACACGCAGCAACGGATCGAATATTTTGTGTTATACTTTATAAAGAGTGACATATAAATAATTAATTTACAACATTTCATATTACCTATAGCACTCTCATTGTCAGCATCAACCATTAGTATCTTCTTCATCTTCCTATAGTTCAAGTTGTCCAGATCTCTCACAGCTGCTTTCGTCCTCTGTATAAGATCCACAAGAACATTAGGCGACCGCGGCCGCGTTATGAACGGATGGGAGAGCAGTTTAGTGGACGAGGGACGGTCTTGAGGATTCTTTTGTAGACACGCCTCGACGAAATATCGAAACGTATCCGTCCATTCTGGCGCCTAAAATTATATTTAGTTAGATTTATATGTCGTGGCTGTAGAAATTAAAACTGTCGTCGTCTGTGTATAGAATATGGATATACTTAATAAAAATAAATAAAAATGTTATACAATTCGCCGCCTTGGTATCTATTTGTTGTATTGTAGAGTCGTTTTTTTTCCTCTAATATAAAAATAACAAAATTTCTAAGAAGAATTATATCTATACATGTATAGATAAAATAATTTTTTTTGGGTTTTTTAAGGAAACAGTGTTTTTATATTAATAGAATTGACATTTAAAAAATCAATAATATAAATATTAAAAGCTTTTTCGGTAAATTGATCTTGGTCTGATTTGGACAAATAAGCACATCGACGACGAAGTGTCGGTGTTTAAAATAATATATCATTATAACTATCTTTAAAAACATATTTAGGAATGTTTATAATTTTTATTTTCATTAAGTACATAGTAAATTCTACTAAGTGTTAAGTTCTTAAAAAAAGCTATATTTTTTTTCTCACCTGTAATGTAGGCGAATCATTTTGCGCAATATGATAGAGAGCAGACATAGCATTCATATTAAAATAGGGAGGTTTCCTCTCTGCCAGCTCGATGCATGTTATACCAAGCGACCATACATCCACCTGTAAATTGACAAGACATTCAATTAAAAATTCTAGTAAAACAAGAAAACCTTTATGGACCTATTTTGTTTAAGAAATAGTGTAATTAATTAAAGAAATAGGAAATTTAAAGTCTAGCTACTCTAGCCTAAAGGTAAGTAGCCTTTTCGTATTCATTAGAAAAATAAATATGCCTCGAGTAATGAAGCGGGCTCTATGATTTTCTACCTTAACTGTATGGCTTCTCAGACGTACAGTTATCAGGTAAATAATATATTAAAAAACTATTAGCCTTTCGAAAAATTATATATTATATTATTCTCTAAAATACATTTCTTTTCGAAGGACGTATGAAATCCGCCAACCCATTTTTAGCTAGTGTGGTGGGTCGTGGCCGAATAATTATTATTCTCCTAGTGAAATGTAAGCATTGTAATGAAACCTTAAACAGTAGAATAATATAACTCGTACCATTAAAATATTGAGATACTAGAGTAAACTCAACATCACACAAAAATAAAAAAATGACAAAACAACTATTCATAATTAACACCTCCAGGTAAAATTCAAAGAAATTAATTAAAATTCTAAGAAATCTATTGTTAAATGACATGCCGGCGAGTCCGCGGTGGTGGAGGGATTAATAAAAAAAAAGAAGACCCGTTCATCTACTAATAATTACAAGAGTGTATCGGTGGTCTGCAGATCCTGCTGTCCGGTCCGGGTCTGTGATATCCGGACGTCCTGAGTGCGAGTCCCGGGTCGCGCCAAGTTTAATTACTAAGTTTTTCTGTTAAGATATCCGTTCCGTATCCGTTATATCAGTAACAGCCCGGAGTTGGGAACTTGGCTATGTTGCACCTCCGAGCCTCGAAGAGGGCGTTAAGCCGTCAGTCCTGCGCCTAGCCGGAACTAACTAAAACTCTCACCGGTCGATCGGACTGTGAGAGTGACAGGAATAGAGAGTGCACGTTGAGTCTGCGCGCACACTTGTGCACTATAATATCTCCTGCGCAGATGGCTACTCTCAGTGAGATTAGCCATAATCGATCAGGAGGACATTATTACCAATTACAACCAAAAAAAGATTATATATACAGAAAAGAAGAAACAAACCTTTCCATCATACTGTCCTTCATCCATTGCCAGAATCACTTCAGGGGCCATCCAATACGGAGTGCCAACGAAACTGTTTGCTGGACACTTTATACTCGCACTACCAAAGTCCGCCAGCTTCACTGTGCCATTCTCCGTCAGCAGAATGTTCCCGGCTTTGATGTCGCGGTGAATGCGCCCTAGACTGTGCAGGTACGACAGACCGCACACTACGCCTTCACATATTGCCGCTATTTCTTCCTCACGCAACGGACGTTTATGGACCTGGTTAGTTATTACATTCTGTTATAATTCCGTAAAAAACCGTCAAACTAATCCAAGTATAGAAAATTTAACGCTAATGGTGCCATTTATTATGATCAGTCTATAACGTTTTATTCATGACTTCATTGACGTGATTCGTATTTTAAACAAAAATCATGTCTGGTAATTCAGGATACAAACATGAAACTAAGTATACTGTATTTCAATCATAGCAGTGTACAGATGTAACACACGCACATTCGCATTTATAACGTTAGTGTGATTAAATCAAATGTAATGTACACAACTTGTTTGACAATAATTTAAAAAAAAATGAGCTTATGCATTAAGAAAATAATAACTGTGGTAAGTGAATATAAAGGCAAATAAAGATATAATCGCGTTATAAGCTAGTTTCATTTATATGAGATGCTGAAATAAATATAAATTATTGGACCATGAAAACAAAAAACAGAATATATTTAAGCTATTCGCATAATTTAACCATTAGTAAACAAATAAAAAGCGACATGTCCCCCTTGTAGGTCGAAAGCTCAACTCATTTCCTGTGTAAAATAAAAAGGAAATAAACTCAACTTTATAATAATAATAATTACGTAATTAGCATTTATTATCGGGTACATCGGAATGTGTCTTGCATTAATTCGTAGAAATCGATAACGCTTGTAGTTTTATAATTTACATAAGAGTATTAAAAAAATATAAGAAATGTAGAACACAACGTGCCTGTTTGTATGTACGTTTTGAACTCGAGAATACTTCAATTTAAAAATAATCATCTTTGCGCGTCATCTGGCTTCTGCCTAATAACCAAGGGTTCGCATAAAGTCGCAACTAGGCTAAACTAAGAATGTATAAGCCAAAATTCTATAATTAAATAAAAAAATCTATAACAAATTTAAACAAACAAGTTATAATTTTCACTCTTATATAATTATAATTAATAATTATACTTCGTAACGACGCACAGAGAAATTAAACATTCATTTATTAGAATACACTAAATAAGATAATATCTTACTGATTCTATGTAAAATATTCGAGTAATAGAAGTCAAGATACGAGTTCTACATTAGAGATTATATTTACGTACGTCTGGGATGACAACGGTATATTTAAAAGACTACTAATAATTATAAATTTCAAAATTTGTATGTTTGCGTTCGTTACCCCTTCCCGGGGAAAATGTTGGGACGGATTTGGATGAAATTCAGTACACAGATAGACAGTATGACCTGGTGTAACACATGGCTAAATTCGGGTGCATCCTAATGTGCGTGTTAAGCACCCGAGCGGAGTGAGGGTAAGTCCGTAGCATTTAAATAAATGTTAATATTCAGATATTACTATGTATGATATCCTTAAATTATTATGGATACCTACCCAAATCTGTACATTAAATATTTTTTGGAAAATCTTATTGAAAAAAACATATATTATCGATACAGAGGCCGAATCTATAGTTTTTATAATTTTTGTCTGTCTGTCTGTTACCGCATCACGGAAAAACCACTGGAGGATTTTGATGAAATTTGGTATGATGATAGCTGGTAATCCGGGTCAACATATAGGATACTTTTTACAGCGGGAAAATAATCTCATCTCTGAGAAATCGATACTAAAGTTAAAATGTAAGTAGGGACGAACCCGAGCGAAACGAGGGTGTGCCGCTAGTACAAAATAAGAATAATTAGGTATGTTTCTTCTTTTTCATTATTACTGCTATTAATAGGTACATTATAATACAAGTTATTATTTTTGTCTATAGCTTTAGGCGAACGTTAAAATAAAATTTATTTTCACTTCAATATTTAGTTCATTACGCGCGTATATTTTAACATAATTAGGTCCAATTATTGGATTTAATTATCCAATTATATGATTAAGCGGGCGAGAAATAAAAACAGAAGATCGTTATTGGCTTATACCATAGAATAAATAACACTAGGATGTACACGTTACATATTATGTAAAATTATTAGAATTTTACATAATTTTCTGAATACATTTGAATTTTTCATTAACATCACTTTTAGAGAAAAGTACCATTTACATATCCGTAATCATAAACGTAACAAAAAGGTAACAAAATTCACATTGAATGTCTTCTCATCCTTCTCGAAAATCTTTGTTTATCTTAATGTGGTATTCATTTTTTAATAATTACTATTAACAATTAATCTAGGAAATACCTAAATATTGCCTTTTTTCAGCTTCAATTATTAATCTCTTCTTTAGACAGTGACAGAAATACTAGACATCTCAAAATAAACGATATAGGTAGTTAGAGCGTTATCACTATAACCTCGTAATTTTGTATTCAAATTAAATCTTTAAAGTCGCAGTCTAAATATGACATGCGTATAAAAAAGATGAATCAAACGCGTTCAATACCAGTTATCTGTCATAAGGTGGAATTTTGATAAATCGATGATACCTACATAGAATATCTATCTACTGATAACATGATTTAATAAGTAGCGATTATGATTTCGAGATGACTCAAAAGCTCGTGCAAACCTTCTGTTCGTGTAAATCACGTCTCCTTCTAAGAAATAAATGACCTCATTCGAAAATTGCACATATTTTGATTCTACATAAACCTAAATCCAACTAAATTCCAATAATATAATGATGTTCAATAATTCCTTTACATTCCTTTAATTTTTTATCATAGCAATTACTTAAAATATATTATGTACCAAAGTTATGCTTTACCAAATGAAAAAAAAGTTTCATGTACCTACCTACTGAAAAAATGCACATTTTGAACTTTGAGTTTAATTTCATTTTTACATAAAAGAGGAAATCTTACCTCAATTATGTCAGAGGCAGAGCCTACACAGTATTCCATAACAAGCCATGCTGTGTGCTCTCTTTTGTAGCAACCCTTGTATTCTATGGTATTAGGGTGGTCCAGTTGCTTCAAGAACCTATGATGAAATTCAAAAGACATTTGTAAGACTATCTAAAAATATACCTTTGGTGTTTCAATAAATGGTCAGAAAAATTGATACAATATAAAAGATAGTTTCTTTTTTTGTAATAATTAAGAAAATTAGAAATGAAATGAAATTAACCTTTACCCAATTTACACTTTTGAAAAAAAATCTTATGCATTACATTCTATCTATACATATAATAAAATTGTAACTAAGCCGAATCTGTACATTAAATATTTTTTGGGAAATCTTATTGAAATAGACATTACTATCGATACAGTTTTTGGAATTTTAGTCTATCTGTCTGTTTTTCTGTCTGTTACCACATTACAGAAAAACCATGGAGGGATTTTGACGAAATTTAGTATAATGATAGCTGGTAATCCGGGTCAACATATAGGATACTTTTTACAGCAGGAAAATATCTCATTTCTGAGAAATCTATACTAAACATTAAAACATAAGTAGGAACGAACCCGAGCGAAGCGAGGGTGAGTCGCTACTTATATATATAATAATTTATAATCACATATTATTTCCCATTTCCTGGTGTATATCATTGACGCAATTAATGTATATAAGAAATATTTTATATCATTATGTAAGTAATTTCTAATAGATATATTACATTTCATGGATAAATTCTTCTATGATGTATGGTTAAATCAAAATTTTATCAAACTTGAGTTATTATTTCTTACTAAAATATATATTTTACTCATAATATTTTACTTTTGTGACAGCTACTTTCACTAAAAAAAATGATGAAAAAATTCATTTCATTTTATCCTAATTTGTGTTTCGTATTATTATTAGGTATTAATGGTTACTGCTTTTGTAGACATACATAAACATTTTTGTATAATACATAAAGATAATCAAGTAATTACTTTATAAAATATTACTGCATGAATCTATAATAATGTTAAAATAAGACTCACTTGATTTCTTTCAAAATGTCCTGCCATTTTTCTTCACTCTGCTTCCCAAGGTAAGACATTTTCTTGATAGCCACAATCTCCTTGGTGAGATTGCAGCGAGCATAGTACACAGCTCCAAAGGAGCCATGGCCGATTTCACGAAGATCTTCAAATATTTTATCAGGATCATGTTTGCTGAATAACTCAGCTATGTCAGGGTCCTTGAGACTGCCAGGACGAGGCATTTTTCTCTACAACATGTAAACTATAATCAAATTGCTGATTAATATTTTTATTTGAATAAATGTAGCATATAAAAATAATACAAATGAATATATAATTAATTGATTTTATTTTTCTAGTTCCCAAAGTTTCTTATTTTTTAAATATAAGCAATATACCAAGATTTACATAAACAATAGCATTTTCCTTAAGACCACTATTGTATGTTTTAGTAATATACAAGTTTAGATGATTTGCCTTCACATACAACAAAGTATAAAAACGGAAAAAGGTAATTTATATAAATAATAAATTTAAATTTAAAATAATTTAAATTTAAAGAAAAAGATTAATTATAATAAATATGAATAACATTTATACATTTAAATTATTAATTACTAAAATCAATTGTGCTTTTATGAAAAAATAAGACATGGCTATACATGCATACACACTTCAGATATGAATATGAAAATTTTATCACATCACACACACACACACACACAACAAGCAATTTTCGTACCTATTAAAAATAGGTACGAAAATTGCTTAGTAGGTAAATTAATTACAATTTTACCTTATTTTTTTTTATATAATCATATAGTCTGCCAGATTTATTTTAGTTCCATATTTAATTTGATAAACTCGAAAATATAACAGTTTTTGTATATACATAAATATTTATATGAACTAATTACAATTGTATCTCTGTAGCTAAGTATTTTAACATAGACAGAGACAATTATTAAAAATATAATTAGCTCACAAATTTGATTTACTTATGAAATAAATTAATTATTCCTATTATATAATATTATCAATTCAACAATTTTATACTTTACTCAACTAGGTATTATAGTTCACATTTCACTTGATTCCCAATATAAATTTAGAAGGTTTACATATATGAAATTGCATCATTTTTATATATTTCATTCTCTTATAATTTTCTTACTTATAAATAATTGTAAATAACTTTTACGTACATTTTATAAATAAAAAAATATACAAACTTGCAAACTATATTGACATTTTAATGTACAAAACAAGATAGGGGATAAAACATACTACTTGTGCCAGCTGAGAGCCGGCGGTGTCCGTCAGTTAATTAGAGCAATTCTACCGCCTCGGGCCATCCTCCGCACCCGCTATCTGCAACAGTCGGAAACGACACAGATAACAGGCCACGCCAAATTTCAATACTTTTTTCTTACAATATAAAAAGTAAAAAAAAAAATGAATTCGAATTTATTATGTACCTAATCAACAAACAAACAGGAATCTTTTTTAATCAAATTAAAACGTATCTCCAGTCAGTCTGAAACCAACCTACCTCGGGACATCCACGATCCCGACCCAACACTGATGCACTTCCAACAAGGCAGGAACCGCCACAAGCACCTTTCACACTCATTAATATAAATATTAGCCAATAAAACCCTTAACGAGGGTTAGAAAAGAAAATATTGCGAAATACTTGGCACTTACAATACAAAATTTCGCCTCAAAATGGCGTTGGGGTAAAGTATGCGAAGATAGCTTTTTGTTTTATAAGGCACACATTTTATAGTTTTCCATCATTTTCGTCACTCACTTACTACACTTGTAATCACTTTTTATTTATGATACGCATTTGGTACGAACGTTATATCCAAATTTTATTGAAAACTATTTACAACTTTCCCGTACTGAAAAATAATCTCTCTCAATGACTTCGGTTATGAGCGCCCTCTTTTGTCGCCCATTACAAATTTGACATTTTTTTTTTTTATCAGACTGACTATGGTCACTATTTCACATAATATATTTTTTTAGATTTATAATTAGTTTTAAATGTTACGATTAATTGTATTAAATTATGTAAAATGGAGATGCTGTTTGAATGCCATAGTTTTAATTTGTGTGAATGAAAAAAATAGCTAAATATATTTTACGCAAGATCTTGTACTAGGATGGATACATTTTATCTGAAGATTGAGCTGAACGATCTATTTTAGATTAAAGCAAGCGAGCAAATTAAAAATATCATGTAGATGCATCTATGCTATCGTATAAAAAGTAATGTTAAAATTCCTTATTTATCTATTGTCTTATCATTGCATTCTTGAAGATTTTCTAGTACATGCAGTATTCAAAATATTGATCAACTGGCACTCCTAGAAATCATAGAAGCCACGAAATAAAAGAATTGAATTAAAAATATTGATGAAAGGCACCGATATCATAATTTCTCGTTTATTTATATACTTAATTTCAAAGAAATATCAACAATTTAAAATAGTATATCTATATAATATTATAACTATTAGGGTGGACATACACGCTATGATTTTCCTGTACGCGCACGTTAGCCCCAACTCCATATGTGTCGGTTTTACTGCAAAGGCGCACCAATAGATGTTTCACATTAAAAAAAAACATATTGATGTATTTTATTGTAGGCATAACCGTAACTACTGCGGACTGAAAAAACTTTTTAATATAATTCAAATCACTGGTGCCAATTAAAATAACTAAACTAAAATAAAAAAGTCGAGAGGTGTCTTGGGAAACCCGGTAGGAATGAAAATCCCTTTGCCATCTGCCTGGCTCACAAGTTAGGTCATAAAATTGTAATGAGTACTAGATTATTATAAACATCAAGCAACGTACATGTTACATGTTGCAGCTCATCTGAAGAAAGGTCTTGACTTTGCTCACGAATTTCTTACAACATTCCTTAACACTTATGATGGTCTGGTACTTACGATGACTACTTACGACGACCTGAAATTTTTTCATATGAACATTCAACATTCTAAAATAAATTTAAAACACAATTTCTTGTTTTTGCTGCTACAAAAGTGTTTGCTAATTAAAAATAGAACTTCTTAAATTTGAACAGTCGAATTACACAGAGTAGTTAACTTATGACAAATTGAAGTCCAAGAAGTAATATTTGACTTGACTAGTTTTTACCAGTAAAGAAAGTTTTTAGAAACTCGAGACATGTTTATTTTACAATACAAAACAGTAATTTGCGTATAGTATAAAGAAGATACAAGTGATTATAAGATGATAAAGTAAAATGAAAAAAATTAGGATTATCTACAGAACTTGGCACCCATTTAGATCTCGATTCTTTTGTCGGTAAAGTTGACACCACGCATATTCTTTATATTGAACTTAGCTCCCATTCTTACATTTACGTTTTTGTTGAGATATCATGACTTTTTGTAAAGAAACTATTATTATTCATAATTCTAAAGGGGCATGTAAATTTAATCTTTTTTTTCATAATTTTGCGACAGTTCATTAGTGGATAAGGCGGAATAGGAATTGTTATTTAATCATTATGAAACCTTTTCTCCTGAGAAAGAAACAGTTGTTGCTATTACTATGATTGCTATTGCTACTATATTCCAAAAGGCACTAAGCGTTAAGCTATTGCTATTATGTTTTGAAAGGCGTAAGATGTAAATAAATTATATTTGTTTCATATTTAAAAAACTTACTGTTTTCGGTTTTTTCTTTTATATGCACACCAAATTTCAACTTTCTAGATCATCTGGATGTGGGTTAGGTTTTACTACTTAATATGTCAGTCAGCCAATGATAAAAATGCCGATTTTTAGATGTTAATATCTTAATAACCGTTTGAGCTGTATTTATGAAGTGGAAAAGAAGTCTAGTTAATCTAAGGGGATTTGATAAAAGAACCAAATTTCATGAGTTTATGTTCAATACATTTTGAGTTATTACGAGGTGAAAAGTGGCTCCAAATGGTTCGTGTAAAATATACACACGGTGCTGCGTCGCCAGTTCCTTTAGTTTGAACTTGGCTGGATACGCTACCGCGTGTCTTGATAAACATCAGGTATACTCTCGCATGGCTGTCGAACTTAAGTATATCATAAACATATTTAATTTTATTTAGTTACTTAATGTGACATCTAGTAACATTTTTTTTTTGCTTTCTTGCTTATATATTTTATTATCTTTTAAAACGTATTTATGGTAACATTTAAGTGCTTGGTGCATTTAACAAAATATTAGTTTACTAGTGAGGTATAAATTGCTTAAAATCGATTTGATGTTCATCGATTTTTTTATACTTTTATAAATAGTGAACATTATTGTTTGTATATCAACTATATAGACCATTGTCAGCCTGCTGCATAGGCCGTGCTGAAATAGAGCCGAACTTTAAAACGTTATAATTTACTCGTTCCTACATCTATACTAATATTATAAAGAGGTAAAGTTTGTGATTTTGTGAGTTTGTGACGTTGTAGGGGGTAATCTCTGGATCTTCTAAGCAGATTTAGATGAAATTTGGTAAGAAGATAGTTTGAGACCCTGGGAAAGACAAGGATATTTTTTATCCCGCAAATCATCCCTTAAGGGTGAAAAAAGGAGGATGAAAGTTTGTATTGGGAAGCAAGCTAGGGACGAACCCGAGCGAAGCGAGGGTGAGTCGCTAGTCATAAATAGTTTTGATATACATACATATTTTATATTAACGAATATGTTTTTACTTACAATGTAAATGTAGTAACTAAATGTTAATTTCATTGAGAAAACTAATTCGTTTTCAAAGAAATTAAAACTTATCTAATAAATAATAAATAAATAAAAAAAATAATTTAGTATAAATATCTTAATTATGCATATTCCAAGCTTTTTTGGTTTAAATAAAGTTTTCTCTCTTCTATAAAATAGTTCATTTATTTTACACTTTAAAAAATAAACACTAAAATTATATGAAGAAATATATTAATGACGTATAAAATCACACAATAATATGAAATTAGTTGATGATGGCAAAATTTAGTAGTGCACTGTGCGTACTGCGTGTATAACGATAATATTCTCTCCACGACCGCGGACACCCTGGCGTTACAGTTAATAATAGATTTCTTAGAAACTTAATTAATTTTTTAGAAATTTACCTGGAGGTGATATTGTAAAATAACAAATCGAATACTCACAGATGATACATGAAAAGTTGATTAATTCTACAGATAATCGGTTTTCTAAATCGACTATTTTTTCACCTCACTAAGAAACATAATTGTTTGTTAGTTGTTACCAGTGTTGGATTTCGTAGTATAATTATACTATTTGTACCATTATTTCATAGCGTGTAGTATGTAGTATCGTATTGCCACTATACTACGTAAAAATACCATAATTTTATCTTTAGGTCGACCGACTTGTATTATTGGTGAGTACTTTTACTTTTTAATATTAACTCTACAATCTTAGGAATTTCTGAACGTACGGCAACACCAAATCAGGCAATGACAAGGTTGGCGGGGATTCCCCATGTGATATTTTACTATTCCATCCGTTCTGACAAGAAGGATTTATAAATAACCGTGAGAGAGACGATATGATGTTCATAGCAATATTTTGATTAAGTATAAAACTTGACAGTGAATTGTTGCAGTATAGATACATTAGTATAAAGTTTTAACTTTTAAACTAGTACAAATTGTAGTGTGTGACGTGTGTACATTATTGTTTCTTACGCTTTGACAATTTTGAGAATAAACTATTTTGTAATCATGAATGAAAGTGAGGGCGAACAAGAGTGTGGTGTTTCGACGCCAAAGAAAAAACGCGTTGAAAGAGGCGATTTAAAAGTGAAGAAAAAACATAGACAACAAAAATACGGAGTCGAATGGGAGAGTGATCCAAAATTTAGTAAGTGGCTTACTCGTGATCCTCAAGATAATTTCAAATCACGATGTAAAGTATGTAATGTTTCAATGATGGCCGCAAAGCTTGTTTTATCGACTCATTCTGAGGGGAAAAACACGAGAAAAAATTATATTCATCATCAAAATTGTATATTGAAAGTAGATTTGTTTAACAAATTCTTTTCCATTGTTTTTTTTTTTCTCTTTCAATTTTAATACTTATGCAAGTTTATTTCAATTCAATACAAAAACGCCGTAAAACGAAACGTGAAAAACATGAAACGTCAAACGTAGTATAATTTTGGACAAGTAGTATAATTTTATTCTCTATGTACAATATTTTTTTGAGGCTCTGGATCCAACCCTGGTTGTTACCCGAAAAAATTGAAATTGACTTGGACAGCTTTAAGCGTAACGATTTGCCGGGTTATTTTGTATTCTTGTTTAAAAATAAATATTGTAAATAATATAAAAGGTAAGGCTTATATTTGTAGTTTAATTCTTGTGTACTATACAAGTGTTACTTAAGATATAATAATTTAGTTTTTCAATCGGCTAAAACAATTTGGTTAGCTTTGCTTAGATGTAATCAAAATGGCGGTATTTAGTTAGACAACAATATCTTGTTTATAAATTAGAATGTTATTTGCATTGTTATTAATTATATGTATGTCTTTAAAGAAGATGTAATTAGTAATATTTGATTCAAACAAAGGACAAGTATAATTCAGTAAATTTGCGCGCCATAATATGTGTTGTAAAGACCTAGTAAAATTGTTTTTTATTAATGGTTATTGCTGTGATTTTATAGTTACGTTTTAGCTTTCAAATAATGAATAAAATACAGATGGCAGACAAGAAAAAAGATGGCACTGAGCCAGAAGGCGAAGAAGAATTTTCTGTTGAAAAGGTGTTAGATCGACGCGTGAGAAATGGAAAGGTTAAGATTTAAGTATAAACTATAAAAATATTGCTGTAAATTGTACTGTATATTTACTTGCTTCCATATAAAACACTGACTAACAATTAAATTCGCGAATTTTATTTAATTTGTTTAGGTGGAGTACTATTTAAAATGGAAGGGTTATAGTGATGAAGACAACACATGGGAACCTGAAGAAAATCTCGATTGTCCTGATCTTATACAAGCCTTTGAAGAGGCAAGAAAAAAGAAAGAAGCAGGTGTTTATAGTTTACATTAACATGTTTTATTTGAGACTAAAATTTATTTAAGATATTGATTTCTATTGTGAAACTGATTTTTTTAGAGGGTAAAGGGAAAATTGAAAAAGATGCAAAGAAAAGAAAATCAAATGCTGCCACTCCGGATTTGAAAGGTGCTAAAAAAAGTAAAAGTGATGATAAGAAGGCTTCTGGATTTGACCGTGGGCTTGAACCAGAGAAAATTATTGGTAAGTTAAAATATTTGCTGCTGTAATACGCAATTAATAACTATAATAAAAATTATATAAAAATGCTATTTCATTAATATGCCTATTTAAAAACTCCAATAGGATCCAATAAACATTTATTGGTTTCTATGTGGCTTTTATCGCTTTTGATTCTATTGGAGTTTTTAACAGGGATGTAAATCATGATTTAGAATACTTTATACAATTTTACTAAATAGAAAAGATTCTAAGTATGTTTTTTTATAACTTCTTCACATTTTAATTGAACAACTTTGTGAACATTGTTACAATATAATTGAATGACATTCAAAATAAAGATAGCATTTATTCTAGACTAGCGACTCACCCTCGCTTTGCTTCCTATGTCCTTCCCAGGGCCTCAAACTATCTTCTTAGCAAATTTTATCTTAATCGGTTTGGGTCCAGAGATTAGCCCCTATAATGTTATAAGCTCACAATCTCACAAACTTTACAATATTAGTATAGATTAATGTATAGGCTACTTTTGACAACATAACTACCATGCAAGGAGAGGCCTTGGTTTAAACTAGCCATATAAATAAACTGGTATTTGCTATTATTGTACATGATTTTTGAAGACACATTTGGCTCAGTTTGTAGCGACCCTACTTGCTGTGCCTGCGGTCACGGGTACGAGAGTTTGTACACCAGTCATAGGTGTTTATATTTATAATATGTATTTATTTAAAGATATATATGTATATGTAGTTTATAAACTATCTGGTATCCATAACAACAACAAACAAGCCTACAAGTGTTAATGCCCAACATATTTATTTATTTATGTCTTATTTACCATCTTTATGTATTATTTGACATAATATATAAAAATACTAGTCACCTCTAGATAACATCTGATTCTTAATTGAAAATGATAAGTAATGTTAATAAGTATGATAGAGCGTCATGTGGTTCTACATTGTCAGGTATCCTTTTATAAAGCTAACATTTATTCATTTGGTCACGGTATAAATAATTTATATAATTTATTTATTTTGGAAACAAACTGTATTAACAAAAATATAGAATAGAAATTAACTAACAAAACTTAACCAATAACAGTTTCCAATGTTACTGAAATACATATATGAAAGTTAGGAGAGAAGATGCAAAACATAATTGAATTAATAATATTAAATGAAACAAAAATCTAACAAATTATAATTTTAATAATAGAAATAGATGAAACATTTTATTTCATTTTATAGGTGCCACAGATAGTAGTGGAGAATTAATGTTCCTAATGAAATGGCAAGGTACGGATGAAGCAGACTTAGTGCCAGCTAAGCAGGCCAATGTTAGATGTCCACAGGTTGTGATACAGTTCTATGAAGAGAGACTAACGTGGCATACACCAGCAGCAGATGAAGCCAATACTGAGGATTAGCGAAGGTAATTTTTTTTTTAATAATTAATAATCATCATTATGTTTTCAAACTATTGTCTTTTAGTCTATAAATAAGATTATCTATATATATAAAAGAAAGTCGTGTTAGTTACTTCGCTTATAACTCAAGAACGGCTGAACCGATTTAGCTGAAAATTGGCAGGGAGGTAGTTTAGAGCCAGGAGAAGGACATAGGATACTTTTTATCCCGTTCGACCGCGTTCAAATTTTTATGATATTTTAATTTTTGGATTTCTCTTAGTCCGGAATAGGTAAGTATTAAAACATATAATTAAAATGTGAGAAAGAAAGATTTTTTCTTTTTATATCTATTTAAAACGTACCTAGCGACGAACCCGAGCGAAGCGAGGGTGAGCCGCTAGTAATATGATAAATTTTATTTTTTGAAAAAAAAAATTATATATGTCACTATAATTTGCATTAATTTAGCACCTAATTTGCAGTAGCATATCATTTAATCTATAATTGTTGCCATTATAGATTAATTCCTGCCTTTTATTATTGTGTGTGCAATATTGAAACCTTACTAGGGAATATGTGTAATTTTTTTTTAATTTTCTATACAATAGATAACATGGTTATATAATTGTAACAAAAATATCCAGCTCCAAAACACTAAAATTCACTATAACTTTTTTTAAATCTCATACCGATACGGATATTTTACATGCCCGCCATTTCGCGCGCTTGGCGTGACGTCAAAGTATCATACGTAGAAAAATTACGACTACATAGTTTGTAGCGATAAAATCGCTCTGTTATGATAATACTTTAACGTCATATTCGGTCTAACCAATGGCGTTGCAACTACTTTGAATTTTCCGCCTATATTTGCATTTTTTAATGATTATTTCTTAATCAAAAAGAAATTATGTTAAAAAAACGTGTGTGTGTACTTATGTACGCACGTAAGAAGTTTTACTTCTTTGGCGGAACAGAACAAAAATAGCTAAAGATTTCATCCCGTATTTATTTCGCCCCGTCACAACTCACTGTTTGCTATCTGTGTGCGCGCGCATTGTAAAAATTTTACTTCCATTTTTTCCAAACACTCCAAAAGAAGACAACTTCAAAAATATTATATTTTAATACTTAATTTCTTACTTAGAATAATTACATCAAGATCCGTTCAGTTGTCTCTCATACAGTTTGCATTTAGGTATACAAATAAAACTAAAAATGTGTTTTGAATTCAACTCCATCCTATGCAAAGGCTTAGTTTATATCACCATTCATATTTTGTTTTAATGTAATGTTATATCTTGTGTTTTAGGTATGCAATTCTGCAAAGAATATCTCACACAAAAGAAAATTCATTGTAAGAAGCAGACAGTTTTTCACCATTATTTTTATAAGTGCATTTTTGCACAACAAAAGTGAGGAACATATTTTATTTTCATTATAATTGATATTTGCTACATACTATGTAGGCTACGCCCAGTGGGTGACCAAGTTCATAATGCATTAATTATGAAGTGGACTTAATTTTCATTACTTACAATAATATTATTATTGGCACCTGTTCAAATTTCACAATTATTATGTTCATTAAAATAAATGCTAATGTGAAAAATGAGTCCTCATTGTCCACAGTAAAGACTTATTTGAATATTTTGACCTGTCAGTCAATACACATATAAACATATTATTACAGTCATTTGGTAGTTTGAACTGGAAAGTTTTCCGGGAGCTTTGAAGACTGGTAATTTTATAGATTTTTACGAGATTTTTCCGAATTTCTATTTTGAGACTTCGTATTTTTGCCGCTCGCAGCGCCATATTGGAAAAATGGCGCCTAAAACAGTTTTTTTGACTACATGTATCTTTTTTCCATTACGGTGGCGCGAGCGGCAAATATATGAGGTGGCAAAGTAAAAATTCGGAAAGATGCCGTCGAAATCTATAAAATTACCAAGTTTCAAAACTCCCGGAAAACTTTCCAGGTAACCTCTTTTTTTAGCAAATGACGTGAGCTATAGAACTGGAAATGTAAACAAAATTTTAGTTTATGGAAATTCAAGTTGTTTTTATTTCATAACTTGTGTAACGTATGTTTTCCTTCACATAAAAACCTATAGCTTGATTAACTTAACAAAATAGTAAACATTCAGATGCATGGAAGAGAAAAAACAAAGGAAGTACGATACGTAAACGATGTATGTGGCCTCATTTGTATCGAAACCTGTGTCGACAAACTTGCACAAATACACTGTTAATCATATGTACTATAATTATGCAATATGCACTAGAAACAAACAACCAATAAAACATTGGCGTTTTATTTTAGTCAAAACTAGCGTAATTATCAATATACCATAACTAAAAATTTATCTTTAAACTGTAGTACGTAATTATGACATTTTGTATTCCAACAAACATGGCGGTAATCTTCGATGCACACAATTATGAAATCAATTTCATTACAATTCGTTGGCTCACTATTACAAGGTTCTATGTTAATTTTAATGAAGTTTATTAATTTTTACATAGAACTTCGTTATTTTGTTATCGTAAATAAACAACATAGAACTATGTAAAATTGAATATTTTGTAGTTATAGTGCCGCTATTTAGTGGTTTGTTTTTGCAAAACTGTAGCTAATGACACATAGAACCTTGTAGCATTAACAACTAAATAAGTTCTAAAATTGTAACATAGAACCTTGTAATAGTGAGCCAACGACATGTATGGTTACATTCGTATCGCAGGTTGGTTCTACTATAACACATTGAAACTTCATTTACATCGATACATACATCGATAAATCCGTTATTATTTTATTTAGAAATATAGGAAAACTTAAAAATATCGTTAACTACTATTTAAACTAATAAATGTATAGTTATCTAAACTAATGGGAAACCAGAACTGTTTTTTTGCTTGAGCTTGTGAAACTACGAGCCAATAATTGCATTTTTTAAACGTTATTTTCTATGAAATTCAATATCATGTACATTTTTATATGTACCAAGAAATAATTTCCAAGGTTAATAATAGTAAAAATAGATTTAAATTTATATAGTTTTGCACCACAATGTGGCAGTATCTGTCCAATTTTAGTAAATAACCATCTAATCTTTATATATACAAATACATATATATACCTTATCTTCATGTAATAAAGTTGAATTTAAATTGACATTTTAACAAATAATTCATATTTTGAAATTAACAAATATCAATTGTAGCAAGTATTTTTGTACTACTCCTTTTTTGTACCAATGACTAATTGTGTAAATTGAACATTTAACACCCTCAGGTAAATTTCTAAGAAATCTATTGTTAACTGACACGCCGGTGTGTCCGCGGTCGTGGAGGGAATAAAGTTATAGTTTACCTACTGTCAATATAGGTCTATTGATTCAGTAGGCCTCCATTACTTATAACACTTAGACTTATCTATGATTGGTTTGGTTACTAAAAGCATCTGTAGCTTCATCAATCTGACTTTTAATTTGTTTTAAAGAATCATTGAATCCGTGACTCTCTTAAGAAACAACGTACATCATACACCATTTTTCGTTCTTGTCTTCTTAAAACAGTATTTTCCTAGGCATATTCTGTTTGATCACCAACTTTAATCAACTAAAAAACAACAAAAAATCTAAATTTAAAACAATTTAACCGAACGCGACTACTACAGAAGTTCGTGCGGCGTTGTATCGGCGCGGGAGACGTAAACCCTATTCAAAAACCTAGTTTACCTACTGTCAATATAGGTCTATTGATTCAGTAGGCCTCCATTACTTATAACACTTAGACTTATCTATGATTGGTTTGGTTACTAAAAGTATCTGTAGCTTCATCAATCTGACTTTTAATTTGTTTTAAAGAATCATTGAATCCGTGACTCTCTTAAGAAACAACGTACATCATACACCATTTTTCGTTCCTGTCTTCTTAAAACAGTATTTTCCTAGGCATATTCTGTTTGATCACCAACTTTAATCAACTAAAAAACAACAAAAAATCTAAATTTAAAACAATTTAACCGAACGCGACTACTACAGAAGTTCGTGCGGCGTTGTATCGGCGCGGGAGACGTAAACCCTATTCAAAAACCCCAATAGGATCTCATCAAAAGCCACATAGAAACCAATGAATATTTATTGGTTTCTATGTGGCTTTTGTCGGTTTTTCAATAAGGATGCGATTGGCGAGCCAATCAGCGCTTAGGGACCGATACACACAGCCGTCGCGGCCCCGCGCCGCACTAACCTCTTCCACGATAACTTATTTTCGACACATGCGTAATAACGGTCACCACTTGACTTCTGTGCCAGTCAGTATACTTAACATCTCCATTGCTAAGATTTTTACTTTCTCTTACTATCATATTTGCAGTACAAAATGGTATAATTGCGAATAATTAAGAATATTCATAGACGTGCAATCCAGCGCGCTGTTAGAACTTAAGTGGCATCTAAATTCTAGCGATGGGCGTTGAATGAACGGACTAGTTCAATCAACCGGTCGACGATGCGTCAACAGTTCACGTATTTCAAATGAACTAGTTCAATTCATAGACTAGGTCTAGACAGTCCGTCTCGCAACGTGAACTAGTAACTATGGACTGTCTAGCGTCTACAACTACATTGAAGCGTACGTAAATCACAGTCCACGATTTGAACTAGTCGACGAAATAAAATGAACGGTCTAGTTTCGTTCACGCTAAATACGTCGACGACTCATTGCTACTAAATTCTAATAAGCGTTGTTACGCCTAATTGTGGCACGCGAATCACGCCCACTTCGCACTTCCCTTGTTTTTTATCTTCCGTGTTTAGGTGCATCTCAAAAATAGAATATAGAAATTACCTATTATCAAAAAGAATAATATGATGACATATTATCTACGAAATAATTACATTCATAAGTAAAAAATTAGACATATACTTAGACCTAAGTGTACAAGCAATAAAAAATATTTGCTATATCGTTTTTTTTTATTAGAAGTATATAGCAAACCCTATAATGTCGTAAATAAAAAAGTATAATATAAGCGAGTTTATTTCTTATTGGTTGAATTTTGTTTGCAGAATAACATCCAAAAATAATTTGAAATTTTTGTACTTATTTGTCATCATAATTATATAGGTTATGCAAAGAGCTCAATAAGATTAAGATTACCCATCGGCAATATGAACAGAGGTACAAAGATAAAACTTATTTAAAAAAAAAGGAACTTTCTTCAATACAAACTCTCTCTCATTCCCTTTTAAAACTTCAAAACGTTTTATGCTTCTAGACCCAGTGATTTATAAATACATATAGGCTGTGCAGTTTGCATGAAATGAAAGTAAATGAATTTATGAATTTATTAAAAAAATGGCATTTTAATATTTAGAAATAAAAACCAAATTTCATATAGTAATATATTTTAGATACATAATTTCGTAATCGGCTAAAGAAAAAATGGCAGCTATCCATACTTGGCTCCGATAACTGTATATATCTTAATTTCATACAATTTTACAAATTATTTACATTGACTTTGTTTGCAATAGGGTTGACATGCGATGATGCTGAAAAAGTACCATAGTAGCCCTTTCAAGTGTAAAAAATTGGCCTAATTCATATAAATGCAAATAACCGTCGATTTACAAGAACGCGTATATACTCATGCTAATTGTTGGAAAAATGGCATAAATATGCCTTTGTAAATTGTTTAAAAACGCTAGTACGGCGAAATCTGTAGTTTTAGAACGTGTTCATTGGGTGGGGGAAAATTCGGTAGGTTCGAGGATACGGCAGTGCATTTCGCGGATAAGCGGCACGGTGTATGCCACGCACTCGTCCCAACCAGGGTTTCGCCACGTGCTTTCACGGGTCTCGCGACGTGCTTGCAAATCTTTATAACCTGTAATTTAAAGATATATGTAGTTGTAAAAGATTAACATGATATCTATACTTATTATAAAAATAAGTCCCCCGGCCGCGTCTTTCTGTCCTCCTGTCTGTCTGTACGCGATAAACTCGAAAACTACTGAACGGATTTTTATACGGTTTTCAACAATAGAAAGAGTAATTCTTGAGGAAGGTTTAGGTATATAATTTATTATGCTTTTATGTAAATTAGCTGAAATACGGCGACAAATGTTGAAGAGGTCGCAAAAAATCTCGCCAAATGGGAACTTTCCACGCGAACGCCGCGTAAACTAGCAAAGATACAGTTAAGTAATGTACTAGAGAATTCAAAATCTATAAAAATGCTACAAAAAAGTCCGCGATAGCATATCTCTATCTCTTACGGTTGACTTACAATAACCACTTTTATGTTAACATTTTTAATTAAAAACATTACGTTATTTTCAAAGTTATTTTCTTTAGTTCGGTATTAATCCTTATCCAAATGAATATTTTAGTTAGCTTAGTCATTTAATGCAGATTAAAATTGCTCTTTACACTAAATCAATCAGATGAATAGTTTTTGAGATATCGTTGTTAGAAGTAATTAGTAGCGAAACATTTTTAATGCTTGGCGAGCATTGAGATGCCTACGGCGAGTCCATCCCCTCTGCCCCGCATCGCTCGACCGCCTGCTCAAGCTATATAAACCGGGCGATGTAGCGCGCGATCCTAGGATACTTTTTACCGCGGGAAAATATCTTATTTCTGAGGAAAAATACAAAAACTGCAATGTAAGAGTATACTAATATGTAACACCTAAGAATTTAGTTTTTGGTCATCTGAACGCGGGCGGAGCCGCGGGCAATGCTAGTTTTTAAATATAATTATTTGTAAAAAGTTGAAAGCAAGAATTAATATTGCAGGTTGGCTTACAAATGGATTTTCAGGGAGCACGAGTTTTGTAAATCTTTAAATTCTATTATCATATAAAAAAGAATATGTAGATAACATATTATTTTACCGATATTCGTGAATTAAAATAAATAGTTTATAATATGTATTTTTGTTTTTAAGGTGTTTATAAAATGCAATAACAAGGAGATACTCAATTCTATTGTATTGTGCATGTGTACACGATATGTTCACTAATTCAGAATGTTTTTCTTAAGGACGTGACTATTCGCCCGAAATACGGGTCTAGGAGAAGCTTTCCCATAACTGACGCGTGGATAGATTGAATTTAGTTCAAGCTTTCAGATCCACGGGAAAATTTCTCGTCCCTTCTTCTCTTCTCAGAATTAAAGAAAAAGCATTAATTGCACCCAAGCGGAGCGAGGATAAGTTGCTTTTTATTACACGCTGTCTGTTGTAATAGATTCTTATTCTTTCTATAATATATAACTTTCTATATTTTTATCGATATCTGTATCAAATTGTCGCTGTCACCTTACTCAGTGACGTCGGGGTAGGGGGCGTGCCTTAGTTGAAATTAGGTGTGCACAAGCTAAGGTAAAATAGTGGTCTTTATTAATACAGTTCAAATTTTTTGTAAGGTATGGGATTACTGTTACAGTTTTGTCACATGTGGTAAGAAAATAAGATCTCATAAACTACTTACACCAAATATGATGAACATTGTAAAGTCTGCCAATTTGTGAAAAGTATCCTGCAAATGCTTCGTTTTGTGAACGCCGATATGTGAGACCGCGCGCCCAGTTATTGCCCCATTCAATCATGGTGCCTGGTTTGAGGCTGTAAAATATATTGTTATGAAATGAGAGTTAAGTAATTATTTTTTTGTAATAATAAATTATGGAAAGTTAACACAAAGATTACCTGTAAGATCTAATCTCATATATATTTTTGCCAGGGCGGGGATCTCCTGTGGGCCAGAAACTAAAAGCAAGCAAATACTGCAAATGACGAGATCTCACATAGTTTCCACGTTCTTTTTCTAATGCACGGTATTCCTGTTCAGAAATATTAAAATGTAATCAAATGTAGACAATATTTAAAAAAAATCAAGTTTCTTCTTTCAGTATTTGTATAATTTTTTTTTAATAAAATCTTCCTGATATAAAAAAGTTTATTTAATTAAATTGGAATCAAAATTTTAAAGTAGAAAGTTAAATATTAAAAATGCAATAGATTACATTGTGGACTTTATACTTTTATTAACAAGCTATTGAATCAATTGTTATAATAAACATATGATATTGTCTTGTTATTATGCAGAATTTATTACAATGAAATAAAACTAGTATTATTTAAAATCTATACTTATATCACTTACTGGGTTTTCTTTAAATAATATTTTTGCTTTATCAATTTTTTCAAATCCACCAACATAGCGCCATAGATGGAGTGCTTGATCCATATCTCCCACAGATACTGTCCATGATCCAACTAACTCACATCCAAGTTCTGATTTTTGGGATTCCACAAATGCCACTGAAGTTTTGCTATAGTTATTAAATATTTTATGTTAATAATAAAATTTCATAATTGCATACCGATATAATATCTGCATTAAATAATAGTACTGTGAAAGTGACTATGTGTATTGTAAGTATAATTTGATGTTAAATTTTATGCATCTCAATCTCTACTTTGACAATTAATCAATGTTAAGATAATGTGTGTAAAATAGTAGTGTCTTTTTTCAAATTGGATATATGTCTATATAGTCAGTCAGTCATTGGTTTAACATGAATATGTAACTAACTAAATTGAAGTCAATAAAATATAAACCTACATTTAAATTTATAAAATGCATAGAGTAATTCTTTCTTTTCAACTAGCAGAACCCATGGTTTCGCTCGCGCTAAAACTACAAAAAAAACTAAAATGGTAGGTTTCATAAAAACTTTCATTCGCTATTTTATCCCCATATGGGATGAATTTCGAAAAATGCTAAAACACGTATTTATTGTATTGAAGAGCATTTATACCAAGTTTCAAGTAATCCTGATCATACATATTTTTTATTTTTTTGGTTTGTATTATAACGTTTTTTCCCATGAGAAAGAGATAAAAAAAGAGGTAAAAAGTAGCCTATGTCAATTGTCATTCTTCAGCCCTCCAACTATATCCACATAAAAAATCACGCCAATCCGCCAAGCCGTTTCGACGTGAAAGAAAGACAAACAAACACACTTTCACATTTATAATATTAGTAAGTATGGATATTCTTATAAAATATACTATATTATATATGAGCTTCATTAGTTACTATTTGCCGTGTAGTTCAAGGCTTTCTTGAGATAATGAAATCGTTCATAATATTTGCTATCTTGTCTGTTTCATACAAACGTCCGGCAGATCTATTTACAGATTGTTGCATAATCGTCAACTTATTTAATGAGCGTTTAGTGAAATAATATCTATAAATAATGTGTATATAATATACGTACTAGTTTTGTAAGTATTTATCCACAGAATCAGGTCGAATGTTATGAGTATGCAAAGCATATATTATTTCTTTGTCGCTAAGCATACGACTATGGGATTCCTTCGTTGGTTCTATCTTTCGTACTAATAACTTCGATAGCCAGCCATCATCAGCGTTCGATCTTGAACTTGTTGTCGATATCAATCTACAATAATAAAAGCTATATACACTGTACTTCCATATTTGGATTAAATAACACATTATAGAAAGTTGTACCTTGAACTTTTAGGTATCGCTGAACTTAATATTAAAACCCTATTTAGAGAGTTCATCTTGACGAAGTTCAAACGTCGTAAATATTATGCACAATTTATTCAATATGAAGCCGCTACAGCTACTTGCTGTTGCTTGTTATCAATTCATTTGAAGAAATCACTTGAAGGTTATCTCAAAAATAGAATTCGGTAAATAAGTGACATCTATTGTACATGACCCTAAACAATTGATAACAAGTTTGACGGCTCATGTCAAACTTACCAGTAATTAAAAATAATGTGGAAAATCATAATATTTACTTAGCCTAAAAGCCTTAAACAATAAAATGTAACAATTGAAGAACAATGCGTACATATACCATCTATCACAAAAAATAATTTTTAGGATTTGTTCAAATCTTTAATTACAATATGTAAAACTAAATTCTACTTTTTTAGAGATTGTTCTCTTTATAAATAAATAAATATGTTGGGACATTCACACACAGCACTCTCCAGTTCCATGGTAAGCTACGAGATCTGTGTTATGAATACCAGATAGTTGATACACTACACATATATAACTTTAAATACATACATAATATTATAAATATAAACACCCATGACTGGAGTACAAACATTTGTGCTCATTACACAAATGATGCCCACAGCGGGACTCAAACCCGCGACCGCTGGCATAGCAAGTAGGGTCACTATAAACTGAACCAAACGTGTCGACGACACGACACGGTGTCGTCAATATATATAAAAAAAATGTGCAATTCACACATCGTAGAAGTGAAACTTCAGAAGATGATATGAATATAGAGTATCAGGAGTAGGATAATCATAAGGATTTTTTTATATTATTTTTACCAAGTTTAAAAGTTATTTTACATTTTATTTGACATAAATATAAACATTACATAATAATCAGTAATGAATTTTATTATTTTTCACTTCCTTTGTAATGTATTCTATCAAAAAACAACGGTTACCATGGCATCATCGCAATGTATTCTATCTCATTCTATCGCCGGCTTAATCCTATATATTTATATGTTTGTCTCTTTTTACTGTCGCATTTCCGTTGAATCGAGTTTCAAATCACAACGATTCTAAAGAAGTTTCACTTCAAAAGTATTTGCTTTATCAATAATTAACTACGCATTACAAGTTCAAGCCCGTTTGGCTGTATTTTTAATTTTCATTCGTTTTGGAATCGTGATCGTGGATACTTAATCTTAAAATATACACCTGGGATAAATAATAAGTATATTTTATTTAATCTAGCAATCATATTATATACGATGTCACAATTTGAAGTTTGACAAAAGATTTTAACTCTGTGATTTTATCGTTAAAAAAAATATTGTCAAAATCAATGTCATTTTCTTCGTTTACTTGGAAGTAGTTTTGTATTTTTATTTTGATAATTAAAAGTATAAAAATTTTTGGTATTTCATTACTCTGATAACTGAATAGAGTGGCCCCGTTATGGGTAAGTATAAACAAGGCTTATTATTTTCTTGGATATTTGCTTTAAGTGGGCGGTGTTGTCAGTATCTCTAATTGTAAGTGATTGAACTATACTGTAATTTCTGTTTATACAGCATCGAGTGAAGTGACAAAGCTTCAACAGCATTTGGCGCTTCTGAAAGAGGAATATGGGAAGTTGCAGAGCCATTGTTCAGAAGTGGAGCGAAAATATACGCTCGCTGCAGCTTCAGCTGGTGACTTAAGCGAAACCAGTTTTGTTGCTAGACTTCTTATGACTGTATCTACTTTATATGGCAGAGAAACTTATTCAGACATCGTAGTCAAACTACATAATAAGACAGTTCCTGGGCATAAATTTGTTCTGAATGCTCGTTCTGATGATTGGAATGAAGATGCTCTTAAAGATCTAACAGAGCTAGGTAATACTAAAAATATTTATTAATTGCGTTTTAAAATAAGAATATTTTTTTCAGTTTGCCTTGTCCTTAACTAACCTATCATGTTTGTAAAGATATATAAACTTAATACGAGATAATTAATCAAATTCTATCTAAATTTATTCTAGATTGGTCAAACCTACCAGATGATGTTGGTTCAGCTTTACTGAAATGGTTGTATACAGATGTGGTAGATTTGTCTCGTGGTGACTCATTTGCTCTTCAACTAATGAAATCAGCAGCTAATTTCAAGCTTCATGGATTAGTTGGAAAATGTGAACAAGCATTAATTGCCTCTGTTGGAGTTAGGTAAATTTGTTGTAATTTTATCAGAAGATGTATTTTGTTTAACATATTTAAGTGTTATTAAATAACATATTCAAGAAGAATATGATAACAGTTATTTATTTTTATCTTTATTTTTTTTAAGTAATAATATTTCTGAAAAGTAAAATTGTTTTGTGGAAAATATGTCAGTTTTTGTATATGAATTAAATGTTTATCAAAACATATTGATTTTTCTATAATATTGAATGACTATACTACTTTCCACTCTGTTCCTAAATGTTTTGTTTTTATGACATTGATGGAATAAATTGTGAATTTAAAATTATTACATTTTATATTTTTACATAATAATATGAAATATAATAAGAAAAGTAATGAATTCATGATTATTAATATCTTGTTTTGTTTTTCAGAACTTGTGTGAAATTTTATTCAGCTGCTGATGAAATAGGAGCCTCAGCATTGAAAGAGCATTGTTCTGGATTAATATCAGCACATTGGGATGATCTCACAGGTTATTGTTTATCAAATATACTTTATTACATTGGCCTTACATTGTGAAATAATGTATTATGGTAGAGCTATGGAATCATGTTATAATATGTATTTTTTTTTACAATATGCCTAATGTTTGGTTTTTGTTGAAACAACAAAAATGAAAATCTAAGTAAATTATTTATAAATAATATGTGTACATAATGTTTAGAACAAGTGAGTGATACCAGTTGGTAAAATATTACAGGTATGTTTATTTTTACAAAACCAATGGGTTTGTTGGCCAGCTAGGAAAATTTATTAGCATCACGATTTTTATTTTATAGTGACTGGTAACATACCAGCTGATAAAATTTTGTGTGGGCTTATGATTATCTAGTTTCCAATAATGAACACAAAGTCAAGCCTAGATTCAGTCTTATGACATGACACTAAGTTATTCTCACTATAGTTATAGATATAGCTATCATACTTGGAAAATTATTCACTACTAGCAACTAACCCTCACTTTGCTTCAAGTTTGTCCTTACTGAAAAACAAATCTATCCACAGGAACCGTACAATTTTCCGGCATAAAACCTATGTGCTATTCCAGACTATAATCTATCTCTGTGCCAGATTTCATGCAGATCCGTTCAGCGGTTTTGAGGCCATTCAGTAACAAAAATGCATCCATCCAACCTTTATCGTTTATATTATTTATGGGATGTATTTGCGACTTCATTTATTGTTTTTTTTATATGCATTTTATAAAAATAATGTATGTTCTTGGAACAGGTGAAGATTTCGCCCACATGTCGTCTGCGCTTTTATATCGCATGCTGAAAAGTAAAACTCCACAACCCCTACATGGTGCCGTCAGGCTGTTACGGGAGGATGTCGTCTTTCTGTGCCTTGTTGAAAACCATGCTAATGTAAGTAATTTTACTATGTATGTACCTTAGTACAGTGTTGTTTTTATTTTGTATGTATTCAGCCCTTTTTAAAGTCCCACTACTGGGCACGGGCCTCCCTTCAATACGAGGGGGATCAGGCCATACTCCACCACGCTGGCAAAGTGTGGGTTGGCGAACTTCACATTGTCTTTCGAAAACTTGCTAGGTTCTCTCAGACATGCAGGTTTCCTCACGATGTTTTCCTTCACCGTAAGGCAAGTGGTAATCACGTTAGAAATGATTCGCACATGAAAATATCAGAGGTGCGAGACCCGGGATTTGATCCCGCTTCTCTTGGTTTCCCAAGCGAGCGCGTTACCACTGGGCTACCACTGCATATGTTTTTATTTTGTAACAATATAAATCAATAAAGATATGCAATATCTTAGTCGGATTAGGGATATTAGAATATTGATATGTTTGATTTATGATACAAAAAAATATTACAATTATGTAAAATTTGACTCTATCCTCTAGCATATAAGATTCTTCTACAACTCATACACAAACACATGCGACATGATCTAGTTATAAATGGTTTGCCATTTATGTCTACATCAGGTGTTTTCCTTTTTCTTATAAATTTAAGCCATTTTTCCCCAGAGTACAGATTTTATCAACAACATGACAACAGCGCCATCTATATATTCCTAGCACAACTATGAAACGTCGTCACAAAAAACAAATGTAAATTGGTTTAGTCTTTCAAAAGTTACATGGTCACTAATTGTAAGAGAAAGACCAAAGACCAAATCTATATTTATAAAACAAAGTTTGGTTTGTTACAACACTATTAACTCGAGAACTGCTGGACCGATTTTTATGATCTTTGTTTTGTTGGATATGTCTTCACTCCGAATAGCAGAATAACTATTAAAACATCGGAAAAATTCACGAAAAAAAAAAAATGAAAAATAAATCTATTCCATACTAAGCGTCAAAATAGCCATAGGAACCTGAGAAAAGCGAAAAATAATAATAGCAGCACAACATTATAGCTAATGTGCATGTATTTGACTTGTGTGTGACTCGTGAGTGACGCGCGGTTCATTTTCCTATTGAATATTTAAAAGTACTACCCCAGTCTAATAACGGCTAAGAATGACGATGCATATTCAGTCGCTTCCATATTTCTTAATATTTGCTGAAAATATTAGACAAAGAATCAAATAGAAACTTAACTATTTTCTCGTTAGTATGTAGTAAAGTTTTTGTAACGTCAATTTTAAATCAGGTTCAAAATAATCTAAATCTATTCCAACTTAAAGTGGCCAATAAAAACGAGACTTCCTTCTTTAAAATAGCTTAATGTTTTAATTATTATTAAAAGCTAGATTATGTTAAAGTTCAAATATATTTTGATTGATATTGAAAGTTGATTAAAGTTTACATTATTTAGGCCCTAGCGGTCTGACTTTAGATTCCTATCGATCGCACTCATAATATTACTTATTAGGGATTAGGGAACCTCCTTGAAGGGGTTTCTCCCGACTAAATTCACAAATCATCATATCTGTAGTTTATTTTTGCAACATGTTTATAAATTACAGTTCCCATATAATCCCTCGATTATTGGTGAAAGCATTACGAAGATCCATACGGTAGTTTCTGGGATTAGCCCGATCAAAGTAGATAACTACTTTATAATATGTAGGGATATATATTTGACAACACGTTTGGCTCAGTTTGTAGTGACCCTACTTGCTGTGCCAGCGGTCGCGAGTTCGAGTCCCGCTAGGGGCATTCATTTGTGTGATGAGCACGAATGTTTGTACTCCAGTCATGGGTGTTTATATTTATAATGTGTATGTATTTAAAGTTATATATATGTAGTGTATCAACCATCTGGTATCTATAACACAAACTTTGTGCTTACCATGGAACTAGATGGTGCTGTGTGTTAATGTCCCAACATATTTATTTACTTATATCTAAAACTTATCGTTAAATATGCTACATATATTATGTAAAATACATATATAGACTGTGTAAACTCGATTGCTACGATAAATATCGAACGATGTGTACCTACATTGAAACAAATGTAAATAAAACAATGCCGTTATTTTTAGCGTCTTTCCTGTTAAACATATTCAAATGAATTAGAAATTATTATCCTACAATAACATTGAACTTTTCACGTTAGTGTATATTTAATTTTTTATTTAGGCGACTGAGATAACGATAATTTAGATTAGGTATATTAATACAAATATAAACATTTTTTTTTGCTGACCCCGATAACAATCATTACATATTTTATATAGCAATATTTTATTTTGTTAAACAGCTAATTGACAACATTGTAAAAATCATTATCTATTGTTTTTTACATTAAAGCCAGTTACAATGTAATAGTTTCTAGTTTTGTTTTATATGATTATACAGAGCGGAAGTGTGTGTACGGTATTGATATTACAAGTGAACACTTTTTTTAAATATCGTTAGCTTGCTTATGCATCAGTCACATAGAAATGGCTGAATTAAATCGTGCTTTACATTCTCCAAAGTCCAAACTCAAAAGCCAATATACCTGGCTCTATATATGTAACACTAAATAGCTTTTTCTTTAGATATTCTCGAGTTATTATAGAAATTTTACTTGTTTTCAATGTAGATGTTAATGAGCATACATATTCTTGAATATATAGTAGGGTAATAAAATATTTATAATTTGTAATAGGTATAATTTATAATAATTACTTTATAAAATTAACAGTGAACTTTGTTCATATATTATTACCATTAGCGATATAAAAATAGCGTAATTTTTTTACATTATCGTTTTAAACTTAAAGATACAAAAATGGCAGTAATTTGCAAAAAAAATGTGATTTTTCATTTAGAATTATCATCTAAAATATGACTAGCGATAGTAAAGTAAATAACAAATTAAATATTTTTTCTTTGGAACATAAAGTTCAGTGAAGCATGTAAATGTTTCAACGAAACTTTGAACGTTTTCCGTAGGTATATTTGTATACTTTTGTTGTATGTATACTGGATCTCAAAATGGATGTGGAATAAATTATGATCTCTAAAGGTATAATATGTATAATTTACAGTAATACATAAAACTAGTATTGATGATCGTAATTTTAACCAAGAGAAGCTAGATAGCCAGACAATGTTTTTTTCTAAGCCAGATGAACATGATTTGAACTCTTATTTGATTGAATACTAGCGACATACTAAAAAATAAAAGTAGCTTAAGTTACTCATAATAACATTAGCTATCTGCCAGTGAAAGTCGCATCAAAATCAGTCCAGCCCTTTCGGAGATTAACCGGAACAAACAGACAGACAGACATAGAGCCAGACAAAAATATTAAAATTTTTGTTTTTCTTATAAGTACCGTATATAATTTTATATGCATTTAGTAAAAAGCTGTTATTTTAACATAACAAACAGACAATTCAATTTAATTTAACTGTATACATTAAGTGTAAGTGAAATAAATATTATAAGTACAATGCCCTGGAAACGTGAACGAAGACCATATATTTATTACGGACGAATTTAGTTTAGAATTCATATCCATAGTTCATAATGGACAGTATGGAATTCATTTTCGACTGTCATTAAAACTCGCATTCACAAGTCTCATAGCATATAATATGTGATGGTGAAAGTTTTAAACTGACAATTTCTTTTTTAGCCTCATAGGTACCTACTGTAAATGCAATATTTAAATCTTTTAGTATTTGCATAATTGCATTATGTAATTGACTATATTGTCATTAACTTACAGTATACATTAAAATAATTAATAAATATACGACGCTGAAATTACTTAAAACTGCTTTAGAGTTATTACAAAGATGTCCTCTACAATAGCAGTTAATGATTTTAGCGACTCGTAACTCGGAAACATCTTCCTTACAAGCTTCCTCGTACACTTCATATGTAGTGTTCACTGGCCGCCATTTCCCGTTTATTTTCGCCTGGTCGCCGTTTAGTGTTTGTGGCGCGCATCCCCTTTGAACTATAGTCACTGACGACACTGTAATGTAACATATTTAACACATGTAATTAACTAGGAAAACTTGCGACTTAATCCCTTTTAAACATTAAATACAGTGAAATTCGTGCAATAAATCAGGGGGGAAAACTTTGTTTAATACTGATATATATATATATATATATATATATATATATATATATATATATATATATATATATATATATATATATATATATAATATTTTATTTTTCTTAATGTTTTCCAAGCAAGGAAGAAAATAATATCGATTTACATACGTTTATCACCAAATATTTCTTTTTGATCAATGTTTATTGATAAAGATACCTATTCTCTTTCTTGTGAGGATCCGTTCGTTTTTGAGGATGAAAAATCTATGATTGTCTTTGGTTTCAGATTGAGATTACATTCTGAAAATCGAAATACCCAAGAGTACTATAGCATACTCTATTCTAATTTCATTTTAAATACGTAGGTGCGGTATAAATAAGACTGTACTATGAGAGAACTTTAATTAATTGTGACATAAAACAATGAGTCAATAATTATCCTGAAATTGACACATTCAGAACTCCCTTTAGGAAACAACAAAATTAAACGGAATCAAACGACCTTAAAAACAGTAACTTTTTGCAACAAACCGTAAGTTAACAAACACAAAATTAAAATACGATTTTGTATTTCTCGAGTTAATTCGGAGAGTGATATAATATGTTACGTTATTTACATTGATACACCTAATGATTTATATTATACTAGCGACTCACCCTCGCTCCGCTCGGATTACCTTTTGCATTTTTCAGATATGAGATATTTTCCCGCAGTAAAAAGTATCCTATATGTTGACCCCGATAACCAGCTATCATCATACCAAATTTCATCAAAATCTGTCCAGTGGTTTTTCCGTGGCAAACAGACAAAAATTCTAAAAACTATAGATTCGGCCTCTATAATAATGACTATTTCTATAAGATTTTCCAAAAAATATTTAATGTACAGATTCGACTGAGTTAGAATTTTATAATATCGAGTTTATATTAATTGATATTATTTTTATTTTCAAAAAGATGCCGCTGTTATAATTCGAAATGAGCGCAGTTAGGGCGGGGCACGATTTATAATTCATATATGTATACCATTAATTAGTACCTAATTATCCTGTATTTGTAACTGAAAAAGGAAAACCTATGTATAAAACTTGAAATACAAATAATTAAGTACGTATGTTAATTACGACTAATTAGTAGTAACCTAAGTAAACCTAGTAGGATATTATGTATAAAATTTTTATTTGGCCCAAATGACGTGTTCTATAGCTAATCAATAATAATAAAGATTTTATTATTATTGATTAGCTAGTTATATAACTCAGATTATTTTAATTTCTCACAGTTCATTCTGTTCAATGCTGCGTGTAGTCATTTGTTAAAATGACTAAAATTGAATTTGTTATATCGCAGTCAAATAACCTCCCGAAGACGAACGTGTTTATAATTTCGTCTTACTTAGCTTCAATTATTTTTTTAATTTATGAATATATAGAAGTTAAAGAAGTGAAAATTTATAGGTAATTGTAATAAAATCGTACACCCGACTATGACAGATATTCAAATTCCAAAAAACATCGTTTTTATTCTCTATTATACTGACCTTTATATATTCATTAGAAGATCAGTATTAAAGTATTAATCAAACAATCAAAAAATGAGGATCAAAAATTGTTAAACTGCCAAATAGTACTTTTCTATGTTTAAACTACACATGTATTATATGTACCTACATGTATAATTGCATCACCTTAAATAATAGTTCAAATGAAAACCGAAGAGATCGTTCATTTACGAAAGTACACAATAGAACAAACCGGATAAAAAGAAGCAAATATTTTCCCATAATAAAATACTGAAATCAGAAATATCTACTAGATATTATCAAACATAACTTGCTCTAAACAAAATCAACTTACATGTGAAAGCGTGAATCTAGTTTTAGCTAATAGGCAGTAAGTGGTTAATTAGTAATAACCAGTGCAGTGATGTAACTCAAAGATGTTAATTGCTCAATGCTCTCAACGATTGCAATGAAACGTTACAGACACGACCCTCTTTAATTATTAATTTTGGTTGGTCACATTGATAATTGATATTACCTATGTATAGCAATAAAATATATAATATACTTCTTTAAAATATTAGTATAGAATTCTATACTAATATTATAAAGAGACAGAGTTTGTTTGTTTTAACGTGCTAATCTCAGAAACAACTGATCCGATTCGAAAAATTGTTTTTTCATTAGATAGACCGTTTATTGAGGTAGGCTGTAGACTGTAGGTATGTATATCACGCTACTATCCAAGGGAGCGGAGCAGCAATCATAAATATCAACAAATCGGGCAGACTTTCATACATTATTACTAACTAGCGACTCACCCTCGCTTCGCTCGGGTTCGTACCTAGGTACATTTTAATTTTTTTGAGCGGAACCCTAATTTTTTTACTGAAATTAAAGTAGCCTAAGTTACTCCTTATAAGTTATAACATCAACTACCTGTCAGTGAAAGCCCTGTCAAAATCGGCTCAGCCGTTTCGGAGAATAGTCGGAACAAACAGACAGACAGACAAAAATTTTAAAAATTATGTTTTTCTTATTAATACCGTATATAATTCCATATGCATTTAGTAAAAGGCTGTCATTTTGATATTACAAACAGACACTTCAATTTTATTTATCTTTATAGATAGCATAAAAGCCATAGAGTTTTTTGTGCAGTCTTAGCGCGAGCGAAGCCGCGGGTTCTACTAGTACATATTACATATAATAAGAATGAAAGTTTCACGTGCCTGTACATTTGAAAAAAAAATATTTGGAGGGCTGATAATTATAGGTAATAAAAGAAATTGCTATCGTTTTTCGATTTTTTTCTCTGTCTGTGTGTTTGTAATCGCATCTATTATCAAGAGTACTAAATAGAATTTAATGTATTAAAATATACTTATAGTCCTAGAGGTGACATTTAAGCTTTATTTTACTTTACTTTCTTAGATTTTTAGAGAAAAGAAAATCATTTCAATTCTCTCTTAAAAAAAAGTTCAAGAACTCCGAGAAAATGGTTGTATTTAAAAAGTTTTATTTTATTAAATTCGATTTACTCTATCAAAAGTTAATATTTAATTCCCTTATTTATTATCTCTAGGAATATTTACATATATGTAATGACATATATGTCGAAATGGTGTCAAGGGACCATATTTAAAAGATTTGTCAACGACACCTAATATGAGCTTTAAAATGCGATGGACCTTACGAGTTACGCGCTTATAAGAAAAGTAGAAACTAGACTATTGCCATTTTAAGTTTTGTTGTTTAATGTTCTTTAGAGATATCCGTCGGAATATGACACATATACAAAAACTGAATACTAAGTAGGTAAATGCTTAAGTTATATACCTATCGCATCTTGTCTAATGTGAAAGTACCACCAGAGTTATCTGTGGTAAATCAGCTTAGATATTTCAATTTATCAATCATTGAATAAAAAAAATAATTTTATATGGTTAACTTATCTCTAAGACCTTAATGAGCCAAAAGCTAAAATTTTGTAAGTACGTAAATAATAGAATATGGACCTCAATAATTACAGGTATTATTTATTTATTATACTACTATATGTACTTACTTTCATCTCCAAATGTATGGGTTGTCTCTCTTTTAAAACACATGGTAGAGTGTACACAGTCTACTAAGAATTTGTCGCCGCCATCGAAATGTTTGCATAACAACGACCCGTCTATTGCTTCTTCTTCACATTTAAAACAATGAATACACGATGCAACTGAAAGTTTGAAACATTAAATAATGTACAATATTTATAAGTTTTTACTTATTTTAACACATTGATCATGTGCTAGACATAGTACACATTACGCCCTCGTTTATAAAATTGCCGTTTTATATTGAAAAAAAAATCAAACAGTTTTTCACAAATAATATATAATGTAATTAAGTAGAAGTATTCGCCAATAATATTAAATTAAATTTCGAGTGTGACGTGCAGTTGAGTGTTATTGCGAAGAAAGAGTGGATTAGACCAATTGAGAAGTATCGTTTCTTTGACGAGACTTGGCGAGCTTGTCCATCAACATATTTGCAGTTCTTCAGAATACACCTATGCTCTTTTTTCTTCCAAAGATGTCAATGAATCAGTATCGTTGGGGCGGCTATCAATTCGTACCCAGTTATTGTCGTCCCCAATGGGCCAAAGGGCTCATTGTTGAGATCAAAATTTTCAGAATGGAAGCACCGTGCGTTCTTTTGTGGCATCTGGCCATACACTGTTATTGCGTGCCGTCTGTGTTGCCTTGTTTGGTATTTATAATACGAATAATATTCAAAAATTCGCGCAACTTTGACTTTCCATGGTCACAAAAATCCGTATTAATATTATAAATGTGAAAGTTTGTGAGTATGGATGTTTGTTACTCTTTTACGCCAGAACGGCTGAACGGATTTGGATGAAATTTGTCACAGAGATTGATTAAAGTCTGGAATAGCACATAGGCTACTTTTTATCCCGGAAAAATCTACGGTTCCCATGGAATTGGTTTGTTTTTGTTTTCCTAGAGACGAACATGAACGAAGCGAGGGTTCAAAAAAACTAACTGCGATATAAAGTACTGTTTTAAAAAAGAAATATCATAGGGCTTTTATAAAATTCAATTCAAGACATTGGTCAACACCCTACCTAATTAAAATGGGCAATTTCTTCCGCAAAGATCTAGTATATTAAGGTTAGCATAAAAGTAGAAAAATACCTCAAGTCTAAAATATTTCAGATTGAGTATAATAAATAAATGTTATTTTATACTAACAAATTAAATGTGTGATAATATTTTGAGTGTTTCTTTTTAATATTTATAACAAGTTCATCAACTGTGTCTTTAATAGATGTAAATAGTAAACCATAAAATATTTTATGCTGTGGGAGGACTAGACTAGACTATAATGGTGTCGTTGAATGTTAATAAGGTTTTGACAAAGAACCATTTTGCGATGTCAAGGACTGCGAAATAGTAGTCACGCAACAGACATAATTAATTAAATGTACTCAGACATAGACGTATTTATCAATTCTGAAATAAAAAAATAATTACTTTAGAAGATACAAGTATTGCCCGCGGCTCCTCTCGCGTTCAGATGACCAAAAACCAAATTCTTAGGTTTTACAGAATAATTAGTATACTCTTACAGTGCAGTTTTTGTATTTTTTCTCAGAAATGAGATACTTTCCCGCGGTAAAAAGTATCCTATATGTTGACCCGGCCGACCCGACCAGCTATCACCATACCAAATTTCATCAAAATCCCTTCAATGGTTTTTCTGTGATGCGGTAACAGACAGACAGACAGATAAACAGAAAAAAAAACTAAAAATCATAGATTCGGCCTCTGTATCGATAATAATGTTTATTTCAATAAGATTTTCCAAAAAATATGTAATGTACAGATTCGGCTTAGTTACAATTTTATTAAATCTTTATATATATAATTCTTCTGTGAGTGTGTATGTCACTGAACTTCTCTCAAACGACTGGACCGATTTTGATGAAATTTTTTGTGTGTGTTCAAGGGGATCTGGGAATGGTTTAGATTCACAATTTGAATAATAATTTTCATCAAAATGGTCCAGTATGTTTTAGCTTATTAAAAAAAGTTTGAAATTTTCAAATTAAAGACGTGTAGACAGGACAACGTCTGTCGGGTCCGCTAGTGTATAGATAAACTGCAGACAATTGACAGAACGACTTTGTAATGTTTTGAATCGTTTGATAGTAATATAGGTACAAAAAATTGTAAGAATTTCATGCTAGCCTAGAATCGAAGCAATCTAATTTAACCTATGTATGTGTTAAAAATGCGTCATAATTTTTAAATAGAATCTGATTTCTTACTATATTCCTAAATCTCGCTATGAACAGGTATTTTTAGTGTTTCACCTGTGGATAGTTGATTGATTTTTTTAGAAATGTAATTTTTTCACAACAAAATGTCTTAATTCGATTTTACTTTATTCAAGGAAAACTAAGCTTATTGTAAGACGTATATATAACCCTTAGATTTTTGTGTCTCTATCTTTACTCTACATTGTTTAATCGTGAATCGTGATGCATATTTACTTACAGGTTCGACAACCTTTAAATGCATATTCATATTAAGTAGTTACATAAAAGTACCTATCTACTCGTATAATATAATCAAATAAGACTCTTTATATGCAATTTTTTGGTTTTGAATTTGTAATTGAATCTATTTATGAAAATAAAACTGCTTAGTTTTTTAGGTAATAGAAGTTTATAGTAGAATATTTTCGTACATACATAACCAATGTTCATATTATGTACCTACCTACATATGTACGAAATGCGTTGTATGCAATCGTGTTACCAATTTATGTTAATATTTTATTTAGAAGATCATTATTATACAGATATCATACTTAATATTATAAGTGTGAAAGTGTGTTTGTTTGTTTGTCTTTCTTTCACGTCGAAACGGCTTGGCACATTAGCGTGATTTTTTGTGTGGATATAGTTGGAGGGCTGGAGAGTGACATAGACTAATAAATAAGAGGGAGATTATCTCGTTCCCACGGGAAAACACGATATTATACAATTCAAAAAAATATTTTTGATCAGAATTACTTGTAACTTGGTATAAAGGCTCTTCAATATAATTAAATTAATACCTGTTTTAGCATTTTTCGAAGTTTATCCCATAACGGGGTAAAATAGCGGATGAAAGTTTATATGAAACCTACCATTTTGGAGTTCTTCTTTGTAGTTTTAGCGTGAGCGAAGCCGCGGCTTCTGCTAGTTAATTATAATACTTGCAAGTCTTTTGTAGAAGAAAAAGACGAACCTTTTATAAATAAACCTATTTTTTAATTACAACAAATTAAGCTCCTTGGCTAAATGGCTTTTAGCCTGTTAAAAATCATATTTCTGTCTGTCTTTTTATTAGTGATAAACGTGATAAACTAGGCGACTAGTTTCTTTCGTAATTGAATAGCGCTTGCCTTATTCGCTTATAAAACTTCACTAAAATATAATTTTTGTTGTGTATCGAGATCGTAGGAAAAGGCATGTAAGAGATTTTTTCGTTTATGGCAAGATAGAAATTACATGAAAATTTATTATTTTTTGAATACGTATTATTATTATTTGAATTTTCAGAATAAGTAAATTTTAAAAACATAAAGCTATAATATTTAAAATTGCAGGAATATTTACGTATAGTATAAACAATTATAAAATTCATAAATATTTTTAATTTAAATTTTAAAAACTTTTTGAGTTGTTTTTCTATATTACACTTATTAGAGAGTTGCCATATATAATGTTACTAGCGACTTACTCTCGCTTAGCTGCGATTCTCTTAGGTACGTTTAAACGGTAACGGTATGGGATAGAAAAACTCTGTGAAAAACAAAAATAAATCTATCCCACGGGAACCGTACATTTTCCCGGGATACAAAGTAGCCTATGTGCTATTCCAGACTATAATCTATCTCTGTGCCAAATTTCATCTAAATCCGTTCAGCCGCTGTGGCGTGATTGAGTAACAAACATCCATCCAACCAATCTTTCGCATTTATAATATTAATGGGTTTAATGGCATTACTTTCCTATATATACTTAGTAGAAATACATGTTAAAATATATTTTATTAATTCACATATTATATTAATTGCTAAACGTAGAAAAATAATTTTCATTGAAACATCTATCTACCTATCCAGATCTATGCTAAAACATAATAACAAAATATTATACTCAGCTGTGAAATTACAAAATGCTTAATGCAAAATTATTGGCACCTAAAATAGATTTTTTTGCGCGTGATTGATAAAAATTTGAATGCCAATCTATTTATATTATATAGTAAACATAGAATTTAAATCGTTAGTATAAGGAAGTCTAACTGCTTAAAATATTCATAATGGGCTTTGACTATGTTATAATAGGTTTAGAATATAAAATGTTTTTTTGAATTCTTTGTCAGTCCACAATAATAATATTGATTTATTTGTTTTTCATAGCCAATATCATTTAAAATAATTGTTAACTTAGTGTAATAATAAATAATCATATTATAATCATAATTAACTCACTTTTAATAAATAGCGACATCGCTAAAAAATAAATTGATATCTCCATTATATTATATGTGTGACACTTTAGTTGTTTTCGATAAAGCCAATTTTAAAACTCCTCACTAACTGCGAACAAGTTTCGAAATGTGAAAAATTACATGAAGTGCGCGTAATATCGTTCGTCTCTGCCGCACACTTGGCGCATATGGCTCCATGTGCTTTACTGACAGAAGTTGTTGTGGGGATACGAACGCTTAAACCATGATTCACAGGAAGGAAGCCCAGTGGCAAAACGGGACATGTTCATGTATCGTCAAAATAAGGTTCTTAAGACTCGCAAAATAACGCTTGAGTCACGCGATCAATGCTGGCGCCGGCGCGACACTGACCAACTTTTGGCGATCCCACTTTATTTGTATTTTTGTTGCTCGACTTCAAACGTTTCTCATTTTGTTTTGTCTTTTATCAACGTTTTACGTCAAAGATAATAATTATAAAACTTTACATTTTATCTCTCGATAACAGTTGATTGTACACAATTTTTGACATGATGATACATAATATACTTATGTATTCAATTTTTTTAAAAACATACTGATTGCTATATATGGATGGATGGATAATTAAATTCTTCCATTAAATATCAATGTATTTATCACGAATTGTTATTTGTTAACTATCTATAGATAGTTTATAATAAAACTAGCTCTCGCTCACTTGGTCTGTCCACCTCATGGGCGTTCTGCCACGAACCCTAGTGCCCTCTACTCTTCCTTGAACTCTTCCTTGAAGAAATAATACAGCGACAAATTCTTTTCCTTTGTTGCTCATGCTGTTCATTATTTCTCTTCGATCTTCTTGATTTGATTTTGCTCATCGTGTTGAAAATAACTCGTTGAACTCGAACGGACAAATTAAATATAACGTGTTATTTAATATTTTTGAAACGTGCGATGGCTACCACACGGAAACGTAGAATGAAGTATGATGACATTTATATCGGAATGAGGTAACTTGGTGGAGGGTAGTCAACAAATATTTTGACTGCTCTCTAAATATCCGTGGATGGCTGACGCGTGGGACTAGTTACAAATTGTAAATTAAATCGCTTCGAATGAAGCTGCTTATATAATTATGATTTAACTTCACTGGTAAGTTCGGTTTAATCATAAATTATTATCGATACAGAGGCCGAATATATAGTTTTTTAAATGTTTGTCTTTCTGGGAACGCACCACGAAACAACCACTAGACAGATTTTGATGTAATTTGGTATGATGATAGCTGGTTATCCGGGTCAACATATAGAATACTTTTTACTGCAGGAAAATACATCATCTCGGAAAATGATACTAAACGTTAAAACGTAACTAGGGACGAACCAGAGCGGAGCGAGGGTGAATCGCTAGTTTCTTATAAAGTTATTTGCTCCAAAGACAAACAAAATGATGAAATTGTGTATATTGTAGTAGATAGTAAGTATAGTTTTAAATTTGCATTTCAATGGACACTTTGTATAAAATAGAAAAGATTAGGTACTTATACTTTGTTAATATGCGAGTTAATTGCTTTGTTGTGAAACGTTTCTCTTGATATCAGTATAATATGTCACATCCTTTACATATGTCGATAATATGCCTACATGATATTGTGATCTGGCAATTTTTATATAGCACACGCGTTTTATATTGGTTGGAATATAAAGCTGTAATATGTATATATATTTTAAATTTTTATTTCAAGAAAAATTATAGTAACGCGAATTCTGACACTTGTATGAATGACTTAGCTGTGATGGACCGAGGATACGTTATTAATAGTTGATTTTCTCTTTTATGCAAATATATATTTTAATTTATTAATGGGCAACTTCTAAAACCTGTAAATAAGAAAAATAAAAAATGGCAAAGTGCGAGTCGCACTCGCGCACTGAAGCATCCTTGTTGCCACACAATAATATATGTATTTGTGTTATGTACCTATTTACCTATAAAAAGGACTTTCTTCGACTTTGAAAGACCATTGTATTGGTAATTACGTAACGTGTTGAATTGTGATTAAAACCTTTAGGATGTGATTAAACCTTTAATTTGTTTTTAGTATTTGTTTTTATAGGCTTTAAAGGTAACAACTATAGTCTATCGAGTTTAATACAAGCATGTAATGCCGTTTTTTTTGCATCGCAAGGCAGTTCTTTGGCATTTAATAAGCTATTGAATAGCTTAATATATATAAAAAACCTATCTCGGTGCCGTCAATAGCCTGGTAATCTAGATTACAATTGAAATAAGAACTTCAGATGGATAGAGCAGTCAAAATATCTAACTCTGCTATGTAAGTTTTACAGTAACTACGTAAAAATATTTTGTATAGATATGAGTATATAACTAGTTTTTTTTTTTAACGTTGGGAAATGCATTTACGCACGACGTGTGGGACTCACCGGCGTAATACAGCCAGTACTACCCACTAAAACCCAACAAAACCTTCCCCCGTCTTAATGGGGCGTCGCAGGATCGCTTACGCATTCAACTACGACGCCCCGACGGCAGGTGTGCCAAAGCAGACCACCACAACCATGGGGTTGCTCCAAGGTCCACTCTGCTATCGGAGAAGTACCAGGAGCAACCCGCAAGGTACACCGCCCCCCGAAGAGGGCCACCTCCCACCGCCCACCGAAGTGGGCAACCTCCCTGTGCGTTTCTTAGCTTCGCTACTACTACTGAGCCCCCCCCCCCCACGACAAGGTGAACGCACGTTGGGGGGGAGTATATAACTAGTGTACAAATACAAGCTGTATCACTTTTCTTTAAAAAAAACAAAAAAACACTTAAGAATACCTGCCCTTTTGTTTGTCGTAATATTCCTATAGTTAAATTATTCCTATAATTAATTAAATTATAGCAAGATACTTAGCTTGATTACCTCGATCGTTAACCCTAGTGTTACTTATCTTTTCCGAGGTAAAATGAGTCGTTACGTCTTTCTTGACTTTGTAAGGCTTAGATTTGTGGTAATACCTCTCTAAGTTTTATGGTCGTCCGCCTAATTTGCATTTTGAGATTCACTGTCATGGTCACTGCGTAAAACAACTTGATCGTGTTCACCTTCAGAAGCACTATGAATAACATTCTCTTCGCCTTCGTCCTATACAATTTGTTGCTTGCTTATTACACATGACATTTCGTATATGCAGATTTAAATCCAAAACAAAAGACACTATCATTAAATTACTATTAAATATGTAAAGATAGTATACTCCTTTAATTTTATATTTCATTTTATCTTCCAAGTAGGTTGCATTTATTTAGAATTCTATATAATTTAGTTGTATGTCATGTTTATTTTAAAAGTAAAAACATTAGGATCAATAAACTTTTAAATGTCGTATCTTTAAAATTTCAGCAACACATTGAAGTTTATTTGATCAATATCGACATATAAAAAATAATAAGAAAAGTCATATTATAAAACGACATTTTGTTTATAATTCAAATAAAAAAATGGAAAAACTTCGTTTTGATTTTAAACTATTGCCTGGAAGTGATGGAAAAACTATTTTTTACTGTATATGCTCAATAGCAACATCGAACAATAAAGTGTATGCAATACCAGAAGAGCTACAATCAGCTGGCCATCACAAGGAAATTGTAAAAATGTCTGTATTTAATAAAGTAAAAAATAGTCTAAAAAAAGGTACCAGATACGAAGAGTTTGGATAACAATGACCGACGAACTTAAAAAAATTTACATGGATGAGGATGGCAATTTGCAGTTTGGCGATCAAGTTTTAGAGGAAATAGATGAGGAACAATCTGTAACTGAACATTTTAAAGAAGCAAGCATGTTAGGAAAAATATTTGAAAAATTAACAGAAAATACACAAGAAAATAAGCAGCAGAACTTAAAACAAATTGCGGAAAAATTTATAATTGAAAAATTTACAACCTCGACTTCAAATGCAAACCAATGGATTGAATTTTTTGAAAAAGAATGTATACGTTTTGACGTGACAACAGACGAAAAAAAAATTGAAATACTTAGATTTTTTATGGATAAGAGTTGTGTAGATTGGTATAATTCCATGATTATAAAATTGACTATGGATTCAGAGTGGCCAACATGGAAAAATAAATTTTGTGAATCATTTGCAAACAAAGGCTGGAATCCTGTTACGCATGCACTATCATTTAAATATAAAGATGGCCCATTAATAGATTATGCTATAAAGAAAGAAAAATTATTACTTGATATGAGAAGCTCAATTGATATGGGTACTCTGGTGGATCTTATTGCAGTTGGCTTACCAGAATTTATATTTAATAAAATTGATAGAGAAATATTGAAAGACACAGTAGATTTATTTAATGAGGTAAGAAAGTATGAACATATGTTAAATAGAAAAGGTTTTACAGCAAAGAGGAAAAATGGATTTCAAAAAACTTATAATAAAATTGAAAATCTAAACGCGTGTAGAATTTGTGAAAATTTAAATAAGGGTACTCGTTTTCACCCTGAATCTGCATGCTGGTTTAAAATAAAAGAGGACACGTAATAATAAGGTAAAAAAAGAATTCATCAAACATGTAAACAATTCAGTAATAGAAGCTGAATTAAACGAAACAGATCAAAAAAACGAATAGTTACACCATTAATCAATGTCAAACTTCTATTGAATGATACATTAGAAATAAATGGAATTTATGATTCTGGTTCAAACATTTCCCTGATAAATTCTTAGTTCTTGAAAATAAAACGACAAGGGAACAGTTTGAATAAAGCAGATTTAGTTACGATTAATGGTGTTAAAAAAGCAAGTGGTTTGACAAACTTGAAAATAAAAATCTTTGAAATGGAAAAAAATGTTGATGTATTTATTATTGATGAACTAGATTTCAAATATGAATTTTTGATTGGCTTAGACATGATAAAGACGTTTAAACTAATCCAAAATGAAGATTTACAAATATCTCAAAAAGAAGACTTAAAAAACGAATATAAAATAAATGAAATTGTTACAAATACGGATATAAAAAA